TCCCATCTTACCAAACTTTTCTTTTTTAATTTAATATTGTTAAGCCTTACCAAAGCAACTCGTTCTAAAACTTTATCAAGTGGCTTACGGTAGTTAGATGCTAAAGCTATCACCAACATTATATAACGGATGATTAAATGGTTCAAAATGACACAAATCTAATCAAATCTCATTCTCCATTGTGCTTTCCGGGTCGGCTAATAATGACCGAACTAATTGTTGGTCGGCGTATCACAAACCGTAAACTACGACCTTGTTGAGATATATTCCTCTAACGCTAGGTAAGAAGGTCATTGCCCTCCGTTTACCTCCAAGGTTAACGACCTACGTAGGGCAAAGAGTATTGATGATCTGGATAAAATAAAAACATAAATTGTGTTGAATCAATTAATTACAATCGTGATTCAAAATTCTCAAACAAAAATTGAATAACAACATGAACATCTTGATATAAAAATAAACATATTTCTTATAAAATTTTACTCCAGCTCAAAAACTCACTAAGAAAAGAAAAAAGTTTAATCTTGTGGATGATCGATAAGTAACAAGAAAAGCTTTTCGTACGTTACGGATCTCTCCCATCCGAACCGAGAATGATTATAATGCTTTACAAATTAACTATAAGCTAATTATAATACTTATGCCCATCAAGTGCGTGGCCATTGACTATGATCTATTCATTCAAACCTATCTTCTTAATGCCATTAGTATTAAAGATTTAAAACAAACCCCGATGTATTAAGCATAATGGATTTATTGTAATAGTCATGATAAAATAAATAAATATCTTGTCCATTAGAATATATTATTTTGTTGTCGCACTACATTGTGGGCAAGGTCCCGTAAAAAATTGATAAAAAAAAATCATAAAAATCAAAATGTTTAAATATATTCAGGCATGTTCAACAACAATATAATATTTTATTATAAATCAAAGTTGTGTGCATGGATTTTTTAGAATGCATCAAAGCTTTAGACATGAAAAGGATAACATGAATTTAAAGCACTACTATTACATGATTACAAAAATTTTCCATTTGTATAAACAACAACAAGATTTCATGTCCATGCACCCGTCATTAACTCGACTTTTAAATACATACCTCTAATTCTACAAAAACAAAACCGAGAATTAAAATGATAAATTAAGTAGAGACACACACACATAAATAACAAAATATCAAAGTTTACCGAGAGAGAGACTCATATGTTCAATTCAACAAGAGAAGCGACATGTTTGAAAAGTTATATATAAAAAAAACTTATAATATTATTCACGTAATTCGAACTTTTCTCATCTATGAAAAATGATAACAAAATATTTAGATAGAGAAAAAGATCCAAGGTTGAATTGTTGAAAATCATATGAAATAATTGTGTTTATAGAAAAAATTCATAAAAAAAAAAAACAAACATTTGTTTGTCGTATTGTTAAAAAGGAAAAGAAAAAACAACAATATGTGAAGTCATGTACATGTAAGAAACGGACAATATTTTTCTACATATAATGATTATGCATTAAGAAGCAGTAAAGCATCTCATTAACCACCATTATCATCTATAACAATAACTTTGTTTGTCATGTCAAGGATTATAAATACATTATATCATAGGTTATGCATAGAAAAATGCAGCTTGTGTTTTTTTTTTTTTTTGACCTCTACACATATCAAATGTATATTCATGAACATTGAAAATCCTAACAAACTATGCCCTATTTCTCAAAAATATATATATTTTTTAATTTTAATATTTATTTTTTTCTAATGCAAATGTCTAAAAATAGCTACTCCGACCTCTTTTTTAAAATAGCAAAAAAATAAAAATTAGCACGAAGAGCACCGACGAATCTACCGAAAGGTAGTCCTATTGATAAATCTTTCTCTATGGATTTGACTTGATCGACTTCCCACGGATCTCTATATCTATCTATTTGATTCGATTTGAGACAATTGTTCGCAAAACATATTCTCTTGACAATGCCAATCCAACTCGTTTAGGGTCGCATACTTGATAATGGTGTTGACACATTTGCATCCCCTCCATTAGTATCCCCGTCAATAATGCCTCATGTTGTGGATGATCCCACTACGATTTCTTCAACTTCAAGAAATTCTACTAGATTTGATGATGAACAAAACATTTGGGTCATGAATAACGGATAAGCAATATGTTTTACATGCAATAATTAATTTTATATTTTATTTATTTAAATTTAATCATTGATTCACTTATTTAGTATTTATTTGTTTTATTCGACTTGTTTGGTTCCATCAAATAAGTGTTTTTTGAAAATCACCATAATTTTCGAAGAGAGGTTGGACATTGCCGGCTCCACATGAAAGTCTCGTCTCAATGGAGATGAAAGAATTCTATTTCAATGAGTTTCGAGTAACATTTTAATTATTTTCTTATATTTCATTTCTAGTGTTAATTTAATATGAAAAGTACTAATATCATTTTTCCATTACATGTAAAAGAACTTTTTGTGGGATGTAGTCATTGAAGCAATGATTAAAGATGTGTGAGAGAGTATGACACAAAGACGGTATGATGACATGCTCAACAAGCTGAAGAATAATGATAATAGACTCGTGTATGTTAAGCATGAGGTGTGGAAAGCATGATGCCGGGATTGAGCCACTCCTAAGTATCAAGCCCGATCTCGATAGGCATCTCAAAATCATATGTCGGAGATGGATAGTGTTGATGCTCGGGCCATTCGTGTATATTAGAGGATTCATCTCTTTGGTTTAGCACACCGAGCATTTGGTAAATACTATATTATTCATTGTATTATAGATTATTTTTTTCATTTTCATCTCATATCACTTTATTTATTTTTTTCAGCATCATAAATTAGATCATAACCCAAATTCTTACAAGTTATTCGTGACCACTCATAAGCGAAAGAATGTGACATTCATCGATAGGTGATCGCAAATAAGCAATGGTAAGGTTTTATATATATATATTTAAATATATATACATTTATCAATTAATGTCTAAAAAATATATTTATAATTTAATATTGTTATTATTTCAATGACATAGGAGCATGCACAATCAATGCAAGAAGCAATTGCTAAAGAGCGACAGGAGAGTGATGCATCGTCTTAAGATATCGACATATCCAATATATATTTGGATACCGTCAAAGGGCACAAAAAGCAGAGAGTGGATGACATCGAAAGTTATTCATCCTAGTGTTACTTGTATTCCGACACTAGCTCATTCTCTACCACTTTATGGTATCCTACCGTTAATATTCAAGAGGTTTTTATCAATAAGAAAATCAAATCAAGAGGATGAAGGTTACCATCTAAGCAACAGTTCAATCAAATTAGCAGTAGTCGGACTCAATTGCAGAGAGTTATAAAGTCGCTGAGAGAATCTCCAGTTGCCTCTCATCCTTCCCGTTGACCCTCTCACAATCTAGTAGTCATTTGTTCCTCTCAACAACCAACAACCGAAAGATGATGTAGGAGATGGTGATAATAATGACTCGATTTTTTTTTAATTTTTAATATCTTTGCATATCTTAATCCATTTATATATTTATTTTATTTTAAATTATTTTATTTAATAATATAATATTTTTTAATAAGGTGTTATTTATATTTATTTATTGTTACAATTTCTAATAAATGACAATTGATTTTTTATATATATATATAAAAACAGTGACAAATTTAGCGAAATAGAGAGAATAATTAGTGATGGATGCATACATAGTCGTTAAATAATGACAGAATTACGATGATATTAACGACTAAAATTTAGTGTCAACACATTCCGTCGCTATTTAGAGACGGATGTAATGAAAATAGTGATGAATATCGGACGTCGGACGACCGATTTAGAATCACTCAATGACGGATATTCAATAAATGAGCAATGAATCAACGACGTACAAAAAAATTCGATAGCTAAAAAATAGCGACCATCATTTTAACGGCAAATTTACTATTGTCTTTAATCCGTTGTTAATTGCGGTAGCGATGGAAAACTCCATCTCTATTTATTGAAATTTTTGTAGTGAAAATGAAAATAAAAGTTTTATTCTCATTGTTATCATTTCATTTCTTATTACCAAACAATATCTAGAAGTTTTAATTTAACCACATGTGTAATAACCACACACACGTATTATCTAAAAAACATCCTAAAATGCTTTTGCAATTTCATTTTTTATTACAAAACAATATCTAGAAGTTTTAATTTAACCACAGTGTAATAACCACACACCGTATTATCTAAAAAACATCCTAAAATGCTTTTGCAACTTTCTCAATTGTTGATTTGGATTTGATTTTTTTTTTTTAACTCATACACCTAAGACTTTTAACAAAACTAATCTATTAAGATTTGAATTTATGTTCTCTTACCTGTAAGAGACTATCATCATTGAAATACAAGCTCTTTGGTTTCGGTTTTTCTTCATCTACAAGCTCTTTTAGAGCTACTTCATGTAAATTAGGAATGAATCTTAATTTAATTTTACAACTACTGCCAACAACCCCCCCTACGAGCTCCAATGGCCATAATAGTTTGGAGGTTGATCTTTTAGCATTAGTGAGTTATATTACTACGTGGAGATAGACTTCCAAATGCCAAAATCGCTTTTCTCTATTTTTAAAAATTTTGATCACTGATCTTTTTATTTTATTTTTAAAAAATTAAAAAGCTAAACAATAATAATTATTTTTGTTTTGATTTTAATTTTCTGAAAATAAAGATGGAAACTGGAAATTATTAATCATGACGCGAAATAAAATGAGATACGTATTTTTCTTTCCTGTCATTGACGTCCATAGACATCCTGACGTGGCAAAAATCAAATGCACACAACCGCACAACAGCGAACCTGAGGAAAAAAAATGCCAAAGCCCTCGCTCTAGTTTAAAAAATCCCCTTCTTTTTCTCTCCAATCTTCCCTCCACTTCGTTTTGGAGTCACCAACACCTACGCAAAAGAGAAAAACCCTAAACTCGCTCTCAATGGCGACCGATCCAACTCAGTTGCACCAACTCAGTCTCCTTCTCGGAGCCGATCCAACTCACTTCGAAACCCTAATAACTCACCTTATGTCTTCTTCCAACGACCAACGGTCCACAGCCGAATCTCTCTTCAATCTCTGCAAACAAACTAACCCCGACTCGCTCCTCCTCCGACTCACTCAACTTCTCTCCTCCTCTTCCCTCCCCGAAATCCGCGCCATGTCCGCTGTCCTCCTCCGAAAACATCTCACCTCAGCCTCCGACGACTCCTTCCTCTACCCCAAACTCAATGAGTCAACTCGGTCCACCATAAAAAACTCCCTCCTCTCCTCTCTCCAGCACGAAACCACAAAATCCATCACCAAAAAGATAAACGACACGATATCCGAACTCGCCTCCGCGGTTCTCCCCGATGGCGGCTGGCCGGAGTTGTTGCCGTTCATGTTCCAGTGTGTCACCGCTCAAAACAATCACAATCTCCAAGAATCAGCGCTCTTGATCTTCGCTCGACTGGCTCAATTCATCGGCGAAACCCTAATTCCACACTTAGCGACACTGCACGGAGTGTTTTTAAATTGTTTGAATAATTCGACGAGTGGTGAAGTCAGAATAGCGGCTCTGAACGCGACAATCAATTTTATCCAGTGTTTAACAAACAATTCTGATCGTGAGAACTTTCAGGATTTGTTGCCGTTGATGATGAGGACTTTGACCGAGGCGTTGAATGGAAATCAAGAGGCAACAGCACAAGAAGCGCTTGAATTGTTGATTGAATTGGCGGGAGGGGAACCCCGGTTTTTAAGAAAGCAAATAGTGGAGGTTGTGGGGTCCATGTTGCAAATTGCAGAGGCGGGGAGTTTAGAGGAAGGGACAAGGCATTTAGCTATTGAGTTTGTGATTACTTTAGCGGAAGCAAGAGAGCGAGCTCCAGGGATGATGAGGAAGTTGCCGCAATTTGTGCATAGGTTGTTTATGGTTTTGATGGGGATGTTGTTGGATATTGAGGATGATCAGCAATGGCATGGTGCAGAGACTGAAGATGAGGATGCTGGAGAGACTAGTAATTATGGGTTTGGGCAAGAGTGTTTGGATAGGTTGGCTATTGCCCTTGGTGGCAATACAGTCCTTCCGGTTGCTTCAGAGGTTTTCCCAGCATTTTTGCCTGCTTCGGAGTGGCAGCAGCCTCATGCTGCGCTTATTGCACTAGCACAGATTGCTGAGGGTTGCTCAAAGGTATAAATGATATGCATTGTGGTTATGTGAATTCACAATGAACAGTGTTTCCATTTTTGTAGATTTCGTAAGTGTGAATTTACAAACTGCTAAAGGTTAGACAACAATTAGAAGGCCTGCCCCTTGACCTTGCTTAGATAGGAGTAGCAGTTTGAAGTGGTTGTCCCTGTTTCTATTATTTCAGATGCATTCTCTCTGTGAGACCTTTGATATTTTGAATAAGCTTGTGAAATATATAGGTTTTCCAAATGGCCCTTTCTTCTTTTTTTCCTGTCAACCTTCAAATGGGTTCTTACAAAATAATCCTTATTGATGCAGGTGATGATAAAGAACCTGGACCAGGTAGTCTCTATGGTTTTGAATTCATTCCAACATCCCCACCCCCGTGTGAGATGGGCCGCTATAAATGCAATTGGACAATTGTCAACAGACTTGGGCCCAGATTTGCAAATGAAGTATCACCAGCTAGTACTGCCTGCTTTGGCTGGAGCTATGGATGATGTTCAAAATCCTCGAGTCCAGGTCTGTGAACCTGTTATATGATTCTGACTTCTGTAATGGTTTCCAATTTGCTATTCTCTGTAAAATCTTATACTAAATATTGTCCTTCCCATCCCAACATCATACACTTGGTTTTCTATCTGTAGTTTGGGTTGCTATTTTGTAACAATACGTGGACCTGGTGATCAGTGCATTAATGCAATAATGACATTAATCGTTGTCTAATGGCATGTGCACAGCATAACGTTTAAATTTTGATACTATGGTTGTGCATTCAGATTCTCAGGATGATGGATTATTGTCATATTGATTCTTTCTTTCTTTTTTTTTTGGTTTTTGTTTTTTGCAGGCCCATGCTGCTTCAGCAGTGCTTAATTTCAGTGAGAATTGCACGCCAGATATCCTGACACCATACTTGGATGGGGTTGTTAGCAAACTTCTTGTACTCCTTCAGGTTTATATAACTATTTCCCTAATCAACTTAACACCTAAACTTGCATAATTTTTTGTGTTATCATCTAATGACAAAGGACAAAATGGATACATGGAATGCTGTCCAAAATTATGCTTTTAGGTCTATTTTTAGCTCTCAGACCGACTCTAATCAGTCCGTTGATGCTAAGAGCTTATTGATTTTAAGCTATTTTTTTTTGCCATATTTGATATTTAAGAATAGAAATACGAAGTCCTTCAGCAGAATGGAAATGCCTTAATTTTTTTAGCAAGATTTTTGCTGATTTTGTTGGGCCATGTTGCTTAATATGCAATCCAGAATGGGAAGCAGATGGTGCAGGAAGGAGCCCTGACAGCCTTAGCATCAGTCGCTGATTCATCAAAGGTACTTTTTTTTTTGTTTTTTTTGGGGGGGGGGGGGGTTGGGGGTTGGGAGAGGGGGTTTAAAAAGACAGGTAGTTGATATATCCAATAACCTCAGCTCTATCTTTACATGCTTCCTTATAAATTTATATGGTTAGTACAGTTGCATTAGGTTGTATTTAAGGGATTGATGCTCTTGTTATTCTCCTGTCCTGTTGATGCACGTGGTTCCTTAGTCGATTACTCAAAAATAGAACTTGCTTTGTTTTGACATGGTATATATTCTAACAGGAACACTTCCAGAAATATTATGATGCTGTAATGCCTTACTTAAAAGCTATATTGGTCAATGCAAATGACAAGTCTAATCGTATGCTCCGTGCAAAATCTATGGAGTGCATTAGTCTGGTTGGGATGGCTGTGGGAAAGGATAAATGTAGAGATGATGCTAAGCAGGTAAAATATGACATATGATGTGTTCTATACCATTGCTTTCTGTTGTGGCAGCCAATGTTATTTGATATTTTCCTTATTGAAATGTCTATAGTGAGGAATAATTTTTTTAGTTTTATTTGATCCACCCTGATTTGTTCCTAATTACCTTGCGTTGAGTTAGTCTTCTTCTTTACTGAAAATCACTGGATGTGCTTATATGTTCTTCCTTGCTTCTAGATTAGCGCTTATGGATTTATGTCCTTTTTTTTTGTCCGGCTGATAGTTCAGACAACAATAGATTATTGCTTAGTGTTTGTTGGTTTGTGAAAGGTTATGGATGTCCTGATGTCACTGCAAGCATCTCAAATGGAGGCAGATGATCCAACAACAAGCTACATGTTACAAGTATGTTTTAACCATTAGGAACTTACTCAGACAATGCTGAATGCATGATTATGCAATATATCTCGCTATGCGATTATTGTAAATTAAGGGGCAACCAATTACATATTTTGCAGGCATGGGCCAGACTTTGCAAGTGCCTTGGACAGGATTTTCTTCCTTACATGAGAGTTGTCATGCCTCCTTTGCTTCACTCTGCCCAACTTAAGCCTGATGTTACCATTACATCTGCAGATTCAGATGCTGATATCGACGACAACGACGACGGCAGGTTTGCTTTCTGTTTTTGATGATATTAAATCACACTACTTAGGTTTTTAAGCAATTTCTTCTCTTTTATAATGGCTGCTTCTATAAAAACATACATCCCGAGTCCCACAATGTGTCTGGCTTCCTTTTTTTCCTGTGTTGGTATATTGTCAAATTTAAAAGATTTTAATGGTTTACTAAAAGGCAAAGCACTAATTAATTTGTCCATTAGATAAAGGGGGATACTTAAAGAAAACTAACAGTAAACATGGCTATGTGCTACTGCTGTAGGTGCTTGCTCTTAGGTGTCCTGTTTAGTCAAGTAGGAGACTGTTGCACAGAGTATATAGTTTTCATTTTACTCTTTCAAAACCTTTATTTGTTTATGGAAGTGCACTCAGTGGGAAGAGAATATTGTTATTGGTTGGCATATTTGTCCTTAGTTCTTGAAAAAAGCAGGCTCCATTATTTAATAATATACATGCTTTGCCGCACAACCAAAACATGATATTTTTCCCACTAATGAACACATTCTCGGTAACTTCCATCTCTTTTCCCCACCCTATTTATCATAGTTGCATTGTCTACTTTGTTCTTTTTATTTTTGTCAAACCTCCTTTTCAACTCTATGTTTTTCTCTAAGAGTCTTCGCTAAGGTAAGTTATATTGGAGAAACCACTTTCAATTACAGAATTCTCATGTATATTCCTCAGTATAGTTTGTGGTTTTGTGATGGTCAACACTGCTTTCTAGTACTCAAGAGGAAAGGAGCTAGAATTTAGAAAATTTGCTTTTATTCATTAGTGGCAATGCGATTGAAGTTTTATATTGAGATTGTTTTTTCCATTACAGCATGGAGACAATCACTCTTGGGGATAAAAGAATAGGGATCAGGACAAGTGTCCTGGAGGAAAAGGCTACAGCTTGCAACATGCTTTGCTGCTATGCTGATGAGTTGAAGGAAGGGTTTTTCCCATGGATCGATCAGGTTAATATTGTTTCAGGCTTTTGGTGGCATCTCTTTTTATGCTTTTGTCAGTTCTACTTGTTAACCATGCATGAACAATGCAGGTTGCAACTACATTGGTTCCTCTTCTTAAATTTTACTTCCATGAAGAAGTGAGGAAGGCAGCTGTGTCAGGTGATTGGCAGGCTTTTCTTCCTTTGTAATTGGTCCATAACATAAAGATTGTTTTTTTTTTTTTTGTTGGAGCTTTTTCAAAACTCATGTTATTTCTTTATCTTGTTCATAGCTATGCCGGAACTGTTAGGTTCAGCTAAATTAGCTGTAGAAAAGGGTCAATCTCAAGGGCATAATGAGTCTTATATAAAGCAGTTGTCAGATTATATAGTTCCAGCTTTGGTGGAGGCTTTACACAAGGTTGTATATTTGTTTGTGTCTCGATGCCTTTGATGTGTATGCATGTTTTGCAGTGATTTTTCATTGGACTTCTTTTTTTTTTTTTTTTTGGATTATAATTGATGCAACTAAATATTATTTTTATGTCTTGCAGGAGCCCGAGGTAGAAATTTGTGCAAGCATGTTGGATTCGTTGACTGAGTGCATACAGGTATATGAGATTGATTTATGAGGTTGGGTGTCTCTATATAGACCCGTTAACAACAAATACAGTTCCATTTTATTACTAGAGGTTGCTTTCTAATACTGTTTTCACATCAAAGGGTAATGGAATCTGGCTGTACCTTCTTAATAGTGTAGGTTTCCGTCTCTCAGCTGACATTTTGCTAAGATGTGGGATCTTAGTACCAAGGAGAGATTTTGGTTTGAATTTGATTACCTTTTATGGGTTGCTCAGTGCTTCCTCCGTCCCATAACGAGAGTCGTATTGGACTTTTCACACAGATTAAGAAAATGCATAAAATACTCTCTTTGTGGGACAGAGGGAGTAACATTTATAGTTAGAAGTGCTTTAGACGCTTTTGACCAGCCCATGCATTTACTTTTTGGCTATACATGCTCTCCATCCATCCCCTTAGGATAGATTATTTCCTTATATAATTTTCTTTTATCTTCTGCTATTTTCCGGTTCAGTTCCCAATTTTCTGATCCCAGTGCTCATTTTTTTTGCATGTCAATGGTTGTACTTTTTAGCTTTCTTTTTAAGATGTATGAAATTAATTTTTCTGAAATGAGATTTCCTTTTGAGTGTGAGAACGTGACAAATAGTTTCTTCTATGTAAGCAATTGTCATCCATTTGGGATAGCCTTTGTTATTATATTCGATTGTGATCTGGTGGAAATTGTTTGTTGAATATAAAAATGAATAATGATTAGTATATCTGTGTTGTAGTAAGCTTCTTCATTTTGTAAGTTTGCTTTATGCTAATTTAGGATTTCTCCCTCAGGTATCTGGACCACTTTTAGATGAAAGCCAAGTAAGGTCCATTGTGGAGGAGATCAAGCAGGTCATCACAGCCAGCTCAGTTAGAAAACAAGAAAGATTGGAGAGGGTCAAAGCAGAGGACTTTGATGCAGAAGAAAGAGAGCTGCTTGAGGAAGAAAATGAGCTAGAAGAAGAACTTTTTGATCAAGTATCGAAATATTTGTGCATGGATCTTTGGCCTATCATTTATTGGATTATTTTTCTTATATATTACATAAAGTGATAATTGTTTTTTTTTTTCCTTTTCTTTTTCCTTTTCTTGTTGAAGGTTGGTGATTGCTTGGGCACATTGATCAAAACCTTCAAGGCCTCTTTCTTGCCTTTCTTTGATGAGCTTTCACCTTACATAACACCTATGTGGGTAAGTTCTCTTTTGATGTATTACATATGTTATTTTTTGTGTTTTGGTCCTTCAATTTCTAGGCTCAGTTTATCACGTCATCCTTTAAACTTTGCTTTTGCTGCTTCTGTATCTGTTTTTCTTTGGGGCATCTGTTCTGGTAGCTTCTCCTCCACTTGAATATATTCTTGCTTGTGCTTGTCTTATTTTTCCCAGCTTTAAGTAGTTTTGTCTGCATTGGATTTTTTCGCTTCTCAATGTTCTTTTTTTCCTTTGTGGGAGGAGGAAAAGGATGCTGTATATAGTTTGGTAACTCATGGCACCTAAGGCATTCTTGTGGTTTATTCTTTTGCCTGCATTAACTTTTCTTTCTTGAGTCCTTGAAAGGTTTAATGCTGGATTACTTGACATGCACTGCTTGGGCAGCTGTCTGAAAACTCCCATCAAGAGTGGTTTGGCCAATTGGATAAACCTGTTTGCACTTCAATATAATTCTGGACATAAAAAATTATTAACATCTTCTATATAGATTAGCATGCAACTATTGCCCCTTAATGTTGAAGTATTTTTAATGCATCCTTTTAGTGAATAATGTTGGTAACCAGTCCCTAATACGGTAACCAAACATACTTCATGCAATTATGTTTGACAATACAAGGCAGAATGAAAAACCATGATCACCTCAGAAAAAAACACGGCTTTGGTCTTGCTGATTGGATATTTTGATTATGCAGGGTAAGGATAAAACAGCAGAAGAGAGGAGAATTGCCATTTGTATATTTGATGATGTTGTGGAGCATTGCAAGGAAGCTGCTCTTAAGTAAGCATCACTCTCTCCCCTGATACTTTGATTAAGCTCTTTCTGTGTAGTTATTCTTCATGTTGGTGGTACAGATATTATGATACTTACGTCCCTTTCCTACTAGAAGCCTGCAATGATGAAAGCCCGGATGTTTGTCAGGTTTGTCCTGAGAAATTTGCTTCTCTTGTGAATGTGGGTTTTGTTAATAAATGAATACCATGTTTTTCAGGCAGCTGTTTATGGGATTGGTATTTGCGCAGAGCTTGGTGGATCTGCATTTAAACCACTTGTTGGAGGTAGTTTATTAGTTACTTGACCTGTCTCTTATTGTCATTTTTGCTTTCATCTATTGTCAAGGGGAATCTTCTTTTGCATTTCTTTGCAGAGGCCCTTTCGAGGTTGAATGGTGTAATAAGTCATCCTAATGCACTTCATTCGGACAATACAATGGCATATGACAATGCTGTTTCAGCTCTTGGAAAAATATGCGAGTTTCATCGGGATAGCATAGATGCAGCACGGGTATTTATTTCTTTGTATATATGTATATGGGAAATGATATACTCACTCACATTCATCATACAAATACCTTACACACAAAGGCACAAGTACATTCTGGTCTAAAATTTTATAATTATGCAAACAAGCCCTTAAATAGACATAAATTTTAAGAAATTTTATTATGTTTTTGCCCTTTCAGTCTTGAAAAATTACATAAGTATTAGGGGGACAGTTTGATCCTTTAATTAAAAAAATGTACAATCACCTTATTATTTATTTAAACTGGAAAAATAGGACATTACTGTTATAAAACAGGAAATTAAGAACATAATACAATGATATATTTTGAATTAACCTCTATATTAAAAAATGAGATGATAGATGAAAAATGATGATAAAAAGACAGTAAATGAAAATGATGAAAATACCTTAGGAGCTGGAATAAGATTTTTAAGGAAATAGGTTGATGATAAAAAATATGATAAAAAGACAGTAAATGAAAATGATGAAAATACCTTAGGAGTTGGAATAAGATTTTTAAGGAAATAGGTTGATGATAAATGCCTTAAAATGTAAAAAGAGCATAAAGCTCAAAAATCAATATTTTGCATGCTTAACAAACAAGCAGTTTTTGAACAAAAATGAATTCAGTATCTTTTTAAAATTTTTTTTTTTTAAGTATTTAGGGACTACTTGAAAATCATAAGTTAGATTAGGATTTGTTTGTATTGGAAAAAAAATTTAAGGACTTTTTTAAATTTTGGCATTAGAGCCTTAGACTAAAGTTGTAAAGGACTGTAGTGAAACTTGAATATAGACAAAATAGACTAAAAGGCAAGAATAAGAGTCCATTCAAATGGCTGAAATTGAGGATGTGATGAGATGGTGTTATGGTAGTGTCATTCTATCATGGTCACACACATATGGGTGTGTTTGCTTGCGCTCAACACGCTCTCTCGTTTCAAGTCGATTGAATGTGAATGCATATTGCTCAACATGCAGTCTCTGCTCTAACAGTAATCAGGTAACTAGCTATAGAGTACTGGCTTCGGATGAACTCATTAATTTCTGGTTTATAGAGCATATTTGGCCAGATTTTGATCATCTGTCTTTTGTATCTTGTCTGTCATTAGTGCTCAAGTATTCCTTTGTCTTATAAGAACATGCTCTGTTTGTAATTTATCCTTCTCTTCCACAAGCACAAGGTGGCTTGCAATGCTTTCAGCTAGAGTTTTTCCTTCCTGAACTGATTTTCTTGCATGATTGGTTTGATCTGTATGCCACTCACAAAAAAGCTAGCAAACAATTTCATAGACCATTCTGGCATCCTTCATGTTATCTTGGATTGCCAGAGTTTATCATCTAGATGTACGACATTCTAAAGGCTTTGAAGTGTCTAGATTTGAGTTGCAGATTGGATTTTTGTTCTTGGAAGCAAATTTGCTTTTCCTATGTGGAGTGATTGCTCATCTACATAAATTGCTTTTTTTTTTTTTTTGTGTGTTAATATTAATGGTTTTTTAGGCTATTTTGATAGTTTCAATGGCTCGGTTCACATTTGGTTTTCATTTTCTTGGTGTGCCTCTTGTGATATCTCTCCTGTGGTCTCTAACACGTGCTTTGTTTTGCAGATAGTTCCAGCTTGGTTAAACTGCTTGCCAATAAAAAGTGATTTAATTGAAGCCAAGGTGGTTCATGATCAGCTTTGCTCATTGGTAGAAAGGTTAGCTGTGGCGACATGGAAAATGTTTTTAAAGCAATTTCTACCCGATTTATTGTTCTAACTCGTCCTTTATACTTCTTGGATTGGCTATATTTAAGTGCACAAGTATATTCAAAACAATAGGCTATTTTCTTACAGGTCCGATAGAGAACTCTTAGGGCCAAACAATCAATACCTTCCCAAAATAGTCCATGTTTTTGCTGAGGTATAGCCTTTTTTTGTTGTACTTGCCTTCTTCTCTTGCTTTTGGAAATTGAATATGTCAATTCATTGCAACATTGTTGCTGTAGGTCATATGTGCGGGAAAAGAGTTGGCAGCTGAACAAACTGTCAGTCGAATGATTAATCTGTTGAGACAAATTCAGCAAATGTTACCACCTGCAACCCTAGCTTCAACTTGGTCATCCTTGGAACCACAGCAGCAAATTGCTTTGCAATCTATACTCTCTTCTTAGACCATTTGGAATTGTTGGGATTTAATGTTATTTCCTCCAAGTTGCATCTGTCATTCTTTAGTCTTGCCCCTATGGCCAAGTCATTATTTTCTCTGGGGAGCAGCTGTGTGTCTTGTCCAAGTTCTGTCTGCATCGGTGAGTAATGCCATTGTTTTATGTGGAAGCTGCTGCATATGTTCAGCAAGCGTGGTGTGTGCTAATTTTCCATCCTTCCTGAAAGTGGAAATTTCTGCAGAGTGGTTCTCCATTTGTGGTTGAGAGCGCAAAATAGGGGGAAAAAAATGTTTTGGAATAGAACTTGTATACTATGATTGCTATTATTGGTTTGTATAGAAGTGGCTTAAAGAGAGTATTATGAACTTACAGGTCTGTGACTTCAAGAGTTGGTGTGGGGTTGAGGCTTGTCGGTGAGGCAATTTTTGTAACAGTTTTGGTGGTTTGTATTTATTATTTTTTTTCTCTTGGATATGAAGTGGTTCAATATATAGAATGTGTCTCTCCAACTCTAAATATTCCTATTCAATAAAGTTTAAAAAGGCTCAGTTTTCTCTGTTTTGGTACTAAGCTGACCACCAGTGCTCCCTTGCATGGAAATTAGTGAACGCTCCCTTTGCATAAGCTGCTTTGGTTTTGCTGTTCCATTAATAAAAAAAGTTGTTGATTGAATAAGCGAAGCTGCCTTCTTTTTCTTACCAGGTTTTTGTAATTTCAATTCTCATAGGCTGGTAATTGTACGCACACATATAGAGAGAATGGAGGTAGTTTACCAAAACTCCCTTGCAGAAAATATTGCCTCTGAAACACCCACAGTACATATTAGAGTGAGTTGCAATCCTTATGTCAAGGTAGAAGCTAGTTTCTTCATTCTCGTCTCGTTCAAAAGAGTAGTTGATCTTGAAGCGCTTTTTGGAGGGATTTGAAGCAAGCTGGTGATATTTTTCCGTTGCAAACCCAAGACTTCTTAAGAATGTGACATGGGTGTTTGTTGTGCTACTTGTTCATCGGGTGGTGCAAGGTGGTTAAACATTTGGATAAGCTACCCCGTGATCCAAGCAGGGGCGAATGTCAACGCCAGTAGCTGCCCTGCCTGTTTATGTGGGTTTTCCTTTTCTTATTATTCTATTTACCTCCAGTTTCAGTACGGCATATTTGAAGAGAGTTGACTAGAGGTTCTTATTTTGGCCTTCTTTCAACTAATGTTCCTTTCGATATCGTCAGCATGACCCGCCTGGAAAAGTGAGAATTTGGCGGGGAGTGCTGTTGGTTTTTGTTTTTTGTGTCGAGGAGAATAAACCGTTGTTGGAAAATTATTAGAGAAACTTCATTTTAGTCTCAAATGTATGATCCTATTATCTATTGAGTCTCAAAACTTTTTAATTTATCAATTTTGATCTTAAATGCAATCAATATTAGACGATGTCATGTTTTCCCCCACTCATTATCAACGTGCAACATCTTACAAATTACGTCTAATTTGCACATGATTTCCATGTGTTTATAATTACTCCCAAAAAAACTCCTAAATAAAGCCCTCGTATATACTAACATACAACTTTTGCATCGAATCACTTAAAATTTGCCTTAAGATGTACAATTGAGTAAAGATTCAATTCATTAGCGCTTATCGGAAGTTTTTTTAGGATAAATTAATGAAAATCAACAAGTAGGTGAAAATCACATTTGATATTGGTGTAATTTTTTAACTATCAATAATAGTGAATGGATTAAAAGGTGGAAATTTGTAAGATCGATTATGTTTGAGACAAAATTGGTAAAATTATAAAGTTTGAGACTCCAATTGACGAGGTCATTTCCTGGAAAACTGCTATTGGTTTTTGTTTGTTCTGTGCGAAGAATAAACTGTTGGAAAATTATTTGGTAACGTACCGGTATGATAAAAGAAAATGTTGCTTATGTTAAAATAAATAAATAATGTATCTTGGAAGCCTGACGTTTCTTCAAAAGTGAGAATTTGTTTGGGATTGCTATTAAGTGATCGTCGTTATGTTTGAACTAAGAATAACGTTAACTAGTTATTCTCTATTAGATGAAGAGACTCCATCAGCCTGACAGTTTCAAACGCTTCTGTTGTCTGCTGCTGTTATTTTCTAATATATAAACCCTAATGTATGACCAAGTCTTCAAATGAGAAATTAAGGGAAAAATTAAGAAAGAACAGATTGTTGTGAATCAATGAATAAAAAAAAAAAAAGACCTAATTTCTTTGATTGTAATGGGCACCACTTGCCTTTTAGTGTAGGTTAGCTCTTGAAAAAAAAAAAATCTGATTAATTTGGAGGTCAGTATCAAGAATTACAGTGATGGTCTCCCCAAGCTTGAAAAACCAAATGAGAAGGCATCTTTCAGATCAGACAGCCCTTCATTTCTTTAAATGTGAAAATGAAAGGCAATGAGAGTGACAATATTGTCTCATGAGCTATTTCTGATTTAATTAATTAATACATGAAACAAGAAGGTTATAATTATTAAGCATTGATCAACTAGTCAACAGAAAATGTTTGTTTCATGACTTCTCAAATTTTTATTTTGTTTGCTGCAATTGTAGCATGGCTATATGCACTTTCTTAAGAATTCTTCACTAATTTTCCATGCCGAAAGTCTCTACTGCAGCTTCTGATCATGGCTAATAAGCAAGATAATTCAAAAGCTGAGAAATCAAATGGTAAAATTCCGTGTCTTCTCGACACTTAACAACAATACCTAGAGGATACTATAATTGGTTTGTAGAAGGCTTCTAGTTGAATAAATGCATGAAACATCATACCGAATCAGGTAAGGTTATGGGCCTATCTCTATAAAAATACTCCTGTTTTCCTAATCTTTTCTTTCATGACTGTTTGATCACAAAATTATGAACATATACACGGAAATGTAGAAATTCATATAGCTACCTGACCCATCACTCATCCCAAAACAGTAGTCTAATAATAATATTAAAACCCTTTTGACGGTTTCATACGGGGTCATGGCTAGCTCAAACTTTTTTGTGATGGTGGAGTGGTGGACAAGGATGAGCTGAATCCTTGGCATCATTCATATATAGGATTTTGCCAAGTAAAGCAGCCCCAACGTCTCGAGAGAAAAGGTGTCCAATTATCCCAAGCACTGATCAGTGGACATTTTATCGTACAAGTGCTCATCTTTTGCATGCACGCCTAGGCACTAACACTGTTATCTATGAGTGAGCCAACAGTTATAAATGGCTATCAAAAAGAGGCAACAGTAAATTTATACATCATGATCAATATATATATCTTTATTTTTTTCACTTCAAAATCAAACATTTTTAAGAACATCAATATATACATCATCATCCTTGGATATCAATCAATACTAAATTCTGATCTAGTCATAAACTTGCTAGCCACAGTAAGATAAAAAGATAACTAGGAATCTATGAATTTTATAATGCAAAGCATTATGTTTTTGTCTGGTGATGCAAGGGTAGGTTAGAACCAAAGCAGCGTGCACGATAAGACATATTCCTTGTCTGCTTAGTGCATGACTGGGTCTATCCCCTTCATTTCTCTTCGCTTAAGCCATGGTCTAGAACCTAGTTTTTGGGCTCATCTAGAGAATCATTTTGGTGCCTCCAAGTGGCACGATTCTGGCCTTCCTGACGCTCTCGATCGACATATGTTGACCAAGACTTAGAGATAGAAGACAAAGGACTTGAGATAGGCAAAATACTAAATCACCGAGGTTCTGTCATTTATTTTCTGTTTTCAATCCTGATTAACCTTGTGTGTTTGTGTAATCACTTCCCTGTCCCCGACCCTAATCAATTTACAATTTTACATGTTGCATGCTCTTAATTTTTCTTATAAAATTAGTTTTTTTTTTTTAAGAAAAAGGGGTGGTTGGAATTGGATTAAATCATTAAAGCATGTTTCATGATGTTACATTTTCATGTTAAATTTCTTTTAATTGCTTCAAATGTTTTAAGCTTCATGCTGGTGCTAACCCTATCGATGGATTTGGTTGCTAATGTTACCTAATCCCAGGATAAATCAGTCATTGCGCATGAGTCAAAAGGACTAGGAAGAAATAATTCTCCTTTGATGGATTGCTTGTCTGCAATGAAAAAAATAGAGAGGCAGGAGGTTACAAACACTAAAAACAACTCTATAGACTATATGCATTGATATAAGCACCAACTTGCACATAAAAAAAGGCAACAAACTCAAAGGCATCCTTTCAAGTTTCAACCATATATATATATATATATATATATATATCTCCATTGAAAACCAAACAGGGACATGTAGACAAGGCTCTTCCTTTGAACTAGTAGAACAGCTCTTTCTTTTTGTATCTCTTCTTTAAATATAGCCAACATTTCTTTCTAATCCAACCTCTTAGCCATATCTTGTTTCTTGTACAAATTTGCAATGGAAATTCATTTCCAACAACAAAAGCAGCATAAAACAGCAAGCATTCCAGCTGGCAGAACAAGCAAGTTCAAGGGGAGAAGTAGGCCTAACAACAGTACCAAGTTTATTGGTGTTAGGCAAAGACCTTCTGGTAGATGGGTAGCAGAGATTAAAGACACAACACAAAAGATAAGGATGTGGCTTGGAACCTTTGAGACAGCTGAAGAAGCAGCTCGAGCTTACGATGAAGCTGCCTGCCTGCTGCGTGGATCCAACACTCGAACCAACTTCATTACTCACGTGTCCCTGGATTCTCCTCTTGCTTCCAGGATTCGAAATCTCCTCAACAACAAAAAGAGAGTAAAACAACAGCAGAGTGTAGAAGAAACTGTTGATGAAGTCTCTACTCCACCAACTAGTATCAATACCATTACTACTACAAGCACTATCACTACCAGCAGCAGCAGCATTAGTAGTAATGGCATGAGTGATAGTTACTCTCATACCAGTTCTATTCATAAAACTGATCACTTGTTTGATGATGCGTATAAACCAGATTTGAGCACTTGCGTTGAGGAATTCAAGTTGGGTTCTTCTCAGTCAGACCTTTCATGGGGTTTTGGACCTGTATTCGATCGGTTTTCATTTGCACAGGAAGCGTTGGATTTTCCGAAAAGTGTGGTATTACCCGAGACAAGTGAATTGGAATTCTCAGAATTTGATAGGATGAAGGTGGAGAGACAGATATCAGCATCTCTATACGCAATGAATGGGGTGCATGAGTACATGGAAACTGTTCTTGATCCTATTGAAGCTCTATGGGATCTTCCACCACTATGATCATTCTGCAGGGTCTGGTGATTCTAATGAACATGGTCTCCCTCTCTTCCTCTCCTTCCCTAAGTTTCTGCTTTCATCTTAGCCTTGCTTGTGAAGTTACAATGACAAAATACCAGCTAGAGATGAAGTTGAAATCTTTTTTTGTAAAATTTGTTATGCTGCTTTTTTAAAATGTTAACAGCACAACACAAGGAGAAGTGACCCCTAATGTTTTTGGAAGGTCAAAATATGGTCGATGAATGCCAAGTCGATGCAATCATGGCTATTAAAATATGCCTGTTTTTCCCCGTGGTAACCTCTCTTTTTCATTGGAGTAGATATAGATGTCATCAATGTTCGTAGTCATTGAAAAACATGTTTCAACCTCTTTAACAGCTCAGACAGGGAGCTCTGGGGCCCTACCCCAACAACTGTCCAAATAAGTTGCAGTGTCTTCTAATGTGTAATCCTTGGTTACTCAGGTTATCCTCCATTTTAATCTGTATATTGAAATCTTTGATTATGGCATTATTTAAGTTCTTACTTCTCAGCAAAGTTACGATCATTTCGCACCGGGAATGTCAAGTTTTCCCATAAATCTGAACTGCCTTGTTTCATGCTATTTATGAGCTTGCTAATCACTTCGAAGCATCCCAATTATCTTTGATGTCGATAGCTATGCTTCATAGAAGTTGGTATTCTATGAAATAAAGGGCTATTGTCTAATTCAATGCTGAACATCGTACGCTTTCAACCAAAGAGACAAGGACATGTAAAAATGCTGAATGACAGGTTTAATTTCAAATAACCTATTTTAGGGAAGTTCAGTTCCAATCTGCTTAATTAACCTAATTTAACATCACATCCATGTCTTTGATATATTCACCGGTTGACCTTGCCGAACTTTTTTTGACTTGAAAGGTTGTTCCCCTCTAAGGTGTGCTCTACAAGGAGTGTCTGTACTGCTGTTTTTTAATGGAGTATGTTTAAAAACATTTTAATTAGACACTAGGCAGTAGATTCTTATTAAAGGTGACCCCAGCCTGCTAGGAGCCTAGTTTTTAAGATATCTGGTTTAGGAAAATACCTACCACTTCTATATATATATATATATCTGTTTGCAAATCCATACCACTTTCAAAGTTCAAATGAAATATTTCAAAAAAAAAAAAAAAAATCATCGCTTGTTGCAATTAAATAAGTTTGATTTTTTTGGACATCTATTCTATGGAACAAATATATGGATACGAATACATGACTTCCTTTCTTCTATTCCAACAAATCTAAAATTTTGAAAACTCATCTTCCACCATGCTGCATTGCCTTCGACAATTCTTGCTTTTTATCAAGAAAAAGAGAGAGAGAGAGAGAGAGAGAGAGAGAGAGAGAGAGAGAGAGAGAGAGAGAGACTGGGTGAACTAGATTTGCCATCTCAAAATAGCTTAAGAGAATGCTTTCCTAAAGCTGATGGGAGGGTAGGTTTAAACATAAAAGCAATCCCCTTTCCATCGACTGCGAAGCTATATCTTATAAAAACTGAGACTTAAGAGAGTACTAATAAATTCCCTGTCCAGGAAAGGTAGCAGATTCACGGGTCGGGTTTAATGGATTGGATACAGCTAGTGAACCATGATGGTCAAATTCCATAACCATTTTACTAAGGTCAAGCCAAGCCAGACACGAAGAGCAACATGAAGAGCATACTTTTTACGTGATAGACAGAACCAAATGAAGTACATATGTATGCTGCTACCAAAAAGAAATAGATGAAGTACAAATGCTACCACCAAAAGAAAAGGGAAGGATTTAAATGTATCGAGAAGTTCAACAACATGGCCGTTCCTCCATGTAAGCACTTCAGAAACAGAGATTTATTTTAGCACCCCAACATGCTTTCTTACATGCAGTAGAGACAACTACAAATTCAAAAAGACGTTCAAAGTTTTATCCAGCTCTGTGTATATGTTCCTTTTATCTTCATCATCAGCAACTTCACCTTACTGACATTCTTTTTGACATTTCTTCCTCCAGGCAACTATATTCTCATAACCAATTGACGCCTCTATGATATGATGGCAGTTTCCCGTGGTAATGCCATAATGCTGTAATTTTGTTTTAATTTTCATCTAATCCAAACTTTGTGTATTCGCATTTAAATATCCTCATAAGCGGTTTTTATCTAAATCATGTGGTCTACGCACACCAAGATTTCCTTCTGGAAGATGAACTCAATGTATAAATGAATATTAGGAGGTTTTACTGATAGCATATGTTTCATTTCAGAGAACGAAAATGATACAGTTTTTAAGATCGTACCTCCAAAAACAATCAACAAGAACAAAAGCAAAACATAATGGAGAAACGATTCACAGATCACTGACATGGATATTAATGATGATAGTACACATGTAGACAAACACACACGAAGGAGAAAAGGTAGACATACAGCTGCTGTTTCCTTGTAAAATATTATCTCAGTAATCTTCCTCCTCATCTTCTTCATCACCACCTTCTGCTCCAACTTCCTCGTAGTCTTTCTCAAGAGCAGCAAGATCTTCACGAGCTTCTGAGAATTCACCTTCTTCCATGCCTTCGCCCACATACCAGTGAACAAATGCTCGCTTGGAATACATGAGATCAAACTTGTGGTCAATTCTGGAGAAGACCTCAGCTACTGCTGTGTTGTTGCTTATCATGCAAACTGCACGCTGCACTTTAGCAAGATCACCTCCAGGTACCACTGTTGGTGGTTGGTAGTTGATACCGCATTTGAAACCAGTTGGGCACCTGAAGTATGCATAAATTAAATAATCAGATCCGAAGAAGAAAAAAAGCAAATGATAAACAAAGCAAATGTTAACCTTGTTCAAAATCCTTCTCTAAAAATTAAATGTGTTTGATAGACTAATTTCAATGAACATTTATTTTACTATGGGGAACTCTGATCCTTGTGTCCAATATCGAAGTTCCAGCCCAAATAGACCTTAGAATAACAGCAACCCACCAATGCTTGAAAATAAGGTTTGTGTAATCTTGATCCGTTGTATGTTTGTCAAGGTAATGGTCTTAATTTGTCAAGTTAGAAATAGAGGAGTTCTCTTGTATATGTCAGTGACTATTAAAATGAAACTGTTAACACAAACAGCAATATAGGAATATGATGGAACCATGTTTGATGTCTAAAAACACCAATCCTTGATTACTTACACGGTGGCAATCAAAAAGCTGTTTTCTTGACAGTTAACAGATTCCTGAAGTATAGTTTAACAATATTTTTTCCATTGCTTTGAAAGCATAAATTCTAAGTGGCACAATGCAAGAGTAGCATTAAGGACCTTAAAAATCTGCAATGAGCATTTCATCAGTTTCTTGAATTGTGTTCAAATCTTTTAAACGCCATTTCAAGATGATGTGTTTCTGTCTGAAATGCTAAAAAGTGAATGAAACAATTCAAACTCCATAACATAAGATGAAAACAATATACTATAGCAAGAATTGATCAGAGTTAATTCTCATAAATTTAACAAATGGATATCAACTCACCAGTCTACAAATTGAACTGTCCTCTTTGTCTTAATGGTGGCAACAGCAGAATTAACATCCTTTGGTACAACATCTCCACGATACATGAGACAGCAAGCCATGTATTTTCCATGCCTTGGATCACATTTGGCCATCATACTTGAGGGCTCAAACACAGCACTTGTGATCTCAGGAACTGAAAGCTGCTCATGGTAAGCCTTTGCAGCTGAGATCACTGGGGCATAAGATGAAAGCATGAAATGGATGCGAGGATATGGCACAAGATTAGTTTGAAACTCTGTGATGTCAACATTAATGGCCCCATCAAACCTCAAGGAAGTGGTCAAAGATGAGATAATTTGGGATATCAAACGGTTCAAATTGGAGTATGTTGGCCTTTCAATGTCTAAAGATCTCCTGCATATGTCATAGATGGCTTCATTGTCCAAAAGCACAGCAACATCTGTGTGTTCAAGGAGAGAATGAGTGGAGAGCACACTGTTGTAAGGTTCCACGACAGCAGTAGAAACCTGCGTTATTAGGAAAAATCTGCTATAACAGAGATTTTGACAATAGGTCAAGCATAGAAAGAGCATTTAGCATGAAGCAATAGCAGAAATAACCATATTATTTGTTCTGTTAGAGGCTTCAACAAAAGGAACTACAGATAAAAGGTTTTAGCATAAATACAGACACCCTAAGAGACATATTATTGACTAGGGAGCCTATCAAAACAATTAACCAGAAAAATAGTTTTCTATACTAAGACTTTGGACATTGGTAATTTCATGAATTCTTTTGGAGAAATTTTCTTAAGCTTCTTGTGCAAAGAAGAAAACCAATTTATTTATGATTACAACCACAAGCTTGTCCATAAGCATCTGGCAGAAGAATGATTCCTTGAATTGTTTGGAATTTTACATTTAGCACAAAAGGATTGCAATAATTTACATCTCCTATGATTTTCCAGTAAGTCTTTAAAGTAGATACCTGAGGAGAAGGATAGATGGTGAAGCCAAGTTTTGACTTCTTTCCATAATCCACAGACAAGCGTTCCAAAAGTAGGGAGCCCAAACCAGAACCAGTGCCACCACCAACAGCATTAAATACCAAAAACCCTTGCAAACCAGTACAATTGTCTGCCAATTTCCTCACACGGTCAAGGCATAGATCGACAATTTCCCTTCCCACTGCAGTATTAAAACACCAACGCAGCAAATTAATCATTGTCAACAATGAGAACGAACTTGACATTTAACTGTGCATTGCAAATGTTTCTTTTCACCTGTATAATGTCCCCTGGCAAAGTTATTAGCAGCATCTTCCTTGCCAGAAATAAGTTGCTCAGGATGAAAAAGTTGTCGGTAAGTCCCAGTTCTGACTTCATCAATGACAGAGGGTTCAAGATCAACAAATATAGCTCTTGGCACATGCTTCCCTGAACTAGTTTCGCTGAAGAAGGTATTGAAAGAATCATGTTCCGCACCGATTGAGGTGTCACTGCAACAGAATATTGAACAGCCAAGTCAGGTTCAAAAATAGAGGAACAAAAACAGTAAAATATAGTATCCTCCAGATATAGTAAATCAATGATAACACTTTCCAGCCAGGAAAAGTAAGATCCAGCTGTTCTCTTCCAAAATTATGTGTCCAATGTCATACAGATTAGTTTTAAGAAAGAAAAAATCTAACAAAAAAACTTTGCACGACAAGAATTACATGGGCCTCTAACCGTAAGATTTACCATCCACAATTGTTTTAATTTTCTACCATAACATTGAAAATGAGGCCTTTGAAATGGAATTCTGCTTCTTTTATTTGCTATTAAGTTTTGATTTCATATGCCTCAACTCTTTTTTTCCCCTTTTTGAAAAGCATATATCTCAACTCCTTAATTAATCAAGATTTTTTTAATTCCACACAGAATCCAAATACATAAATAACAGTCTAATCATAGCTTACCCACAGAAAAAGCAAATAGCTTTGTAATTTTTTTTTTTTTAACTAATTCAATCATGGGAAGAACATAAACGAAAACAAAAATCCCTTGCTTTGAATGCAAAATCACCAAAGCACAAGAAGAAGAAATCCGAACACAGAAAACTATTCTGATCGATTGCATTGTATGAAATTACAATAATACCCCACAAAAGAACAAACAAATAAGCAAGATCCCATGAATTAAAATAATCAATGATCCACGAACAAACATTAATTTCACAGGAAAACATAAACAACAAAATGTATGCATTAAATTACCTAGGCATCGTTCCATCAGGCTGTATTCCATGTTCAAGACAATAAAGTTCCCAACAAGAATTCCCGACCTGAATTCCTGCTTGTCCAATATGAATGCTTATGATCTCCCTCATCGTTTCTTCCTCTCTTTCTCTCTCTAAACAATAATTATCTCTTCCAGAAACTGAGAAAGCTTCTAAATAATGGAGATGAAAGAAAGAAAGAGAGAGAGAAACGAAGAGATTTCTCTTTTCCTTTTCTTTTCCTTCGTTCAAAGTTATAAAGGCAGAAATTGTGAATCTATCAATTAAAGAAGTTTGTTAACTGCCAGTTATATGGCGCCAAATGGGGTCCTCTACTTGGCGCCAACTGTATGGTGTTGGGTTTTTTGTGCTAGCTCGGCTGTTGTCGGTCACTGTGGCCCACGTCATGATCAAAATCACTGAATTATCTGCTTGAATTGCATAATTAATTTTCGACAATTTTTCAGAACGAAATAAAAGAAATGAAAAGGACGAGAAGGAAAAGATATGTTGAAGCAGAATTAAAAAAAAAATTGGCGTCCAGATTAAAGATATTTTGTTCTGCAAGTGCTGGCCCCTTGTCCTGTCAATATTGCTGATGCGAAACTAGTCCTTTGCAATAATGCTACACACAGACACTGCAATAACTGCTAAGAATACTAATCATAATGAGAGATACGAAGCAACGTACATGAAACAAAATTTATGCGAAAGATTCATGAATCACAGCAGTTGGTGGTGCATCATGTGCTTATGAGTAGACCCCCTAACCACCTAGCCCAGAAAGACAAACTTTTGGATCTTTAACCCCTCATCTAGGACGGCTTGTGGCCCAAGGTTTAATGGATCTCCAAAAGAGAGCAAGGATTTCAATTTGAACCTTTTTTTTACTTATACAACATTAGAATCTCCAGCTCCAAATCTCTTGAAAGAGAAGAGACATGATCACAAGATTATCAGTTCGATTTTATACTTATTGGCTGTCATTTTGAACTTTAGGCACCAAATAGTAGAATGCAAAACAATAATTTATCAAAACAGGAAATTATTGAAGTTTTACAATTTGATAATCGATGTTGTCTATTTTTTGGATCTTCCAAAATATCTTATAACCAAAAGCTTACATTAATCTCTTACTGCCACAGCTAATTAGAGAGTTTTTAACATACATAAATACTCGAATTTGAAATCACTTATTTAAACGATTAGAATTTATTCCATTCAAATCAACCTTCTTGTATTATGTTGTTGACTTTATTTATCTATTAGTATTATTTTCCTATAATTTAAAAATTTTATAATATTATCTTTGTAGTTTTCAAAAAAAAAAATCAATATTATTGTTAAATAGCTGGTGAAATTTAATTGATGATCTCACTTTTTAATTTGTTTACTTTTTTAATTATTTTTTAGATATTATGCCATGGGTAAGAATTTGATTGAACAAAAGAGAGACAATTAATAAATATTAATTACAGGAAAAGGATGAAAAGAAATGAGGATTTCTAGCTATTTGACTGGTAGTATTATGCAGGGGTAAAATTAGGAAATTTTAAAGTATAAAGGTAGAGGTAGAACATTAGTAAATCTAGAGGACTGAAAAAATGAAGTATATACATACACCGTTGCTTGCATTCGGCAAACCGGGGGCGCACCCAGTTTTTTCCTTATAGAGGTGGCCAATCCGAGAAAGAACCGATATTTTTCCTTTTCAGACAACTAAATAATAATAGATGAATAATAATGTTAAATATTAATAAAAATCAATAAAAATTAAAAAAAATTATAGATGATATTGAAGTTTTTTTTGGTCATATTTTATATATATATATATATTTAGAATTAATCATAATAATATATAATAATAATAATAATAATATATAAATGTCTTGCATTTCAAAAGCCGAGAAGCCAAAGGAACAGTAGCTATAGCAGAACAGATAAAATGGCAACAGGCTCTGTGAAAGCGGTGGCTCTCATCGCCGGAGACTCCAGTGCTAGAGGCTCTATTCATTTCATTCAAGAACCAAACGGTATCTCTCGCTCTCTTTTTTATCAGTATTTGTCAAGAAAAGAAAGCATGGTTCTTTTCTTGATAGCGTCTACATGAAACATGAATATATGTATGTATACAGGGGCAACGCATGTGACAGGGAGGATAACTGGATTATACCCAGGCCTGCATGGGTTCCATATTCATGCTCTTGGTGACACCACCAATGGCTGCAATTCCACTGGTACTCACTCTCTTTGGATACGTGTGTGTTGTCACTTGTCAGGGGTAAAATTTATACTTTCTTAAATTCTATAACTGGGGTTTCTATTGTTGGGTGGCTGCAGTATATATGAGACTATTTGTAAATATCTTGTTGAATTTGATCTGGGATTTTAAAATTAGAGCAGTTGGTGCTGATTTTAGGCTCATAATGCTTACATTTTAAGTGGGCTATCTTCTATTGACTTCAAGATTATGTTCTTGATGTTACTGTTGGCACTTCTTTTCATATTTGAGTTTCAATTTAAATTCTATGCAATTCTATTCGGATTTTAGGCTCGTAAAGCTCTTATCTTTTATGTACCTCTTGCTTTTGGATTGCTGCAGTTTCAGTCCATGGTAAAAATCTTCTAATGATCTTACTTGAATGTTAGGACCTCATTTCAATCCACTGAAGAAGGACCATGGAGCTCCAAGTGATAATGAACGTCATGCTGGAGATTTGGGAAACATCGTTGCAGGCTCAGATGGTATGCTGTTTCTTTTTTCTATATGAGTTTGGTAAGTTGGAGAGCCAGGGTAGATTTAAGCTTAATTTTTTCATGTTGCAGGTGTTGCAGAGTTTTCGATTAAAGACTTGCAGGTATTCACGAATAAATAGAATGAGGGGATAAATGGTAGTCTCTTTTGGTTTGGAATTGTTAAGTGCTCTTGATTACCCCACTCCTCTCGATGAACTTAAAAGTTGGTGGGTAATTTGATGCTTAGTTTGATATTGGCTCATGTTATATGATCTTGAGAATTTTGGAATTATCAAATGCCATGAAAATCTGAGTCAAGTGGTGTTGTGCTGGCTTGCACATCTGCCTTTGATTTCTTCAATTAATTGGCTTCCTAAAAGTTTTGACTCAGTGAATTTTATCTTAAACTATTCAACTTCTCTCTTTTGGTTTCAACTTCTAGATACCACTGAGTGGGATGCATTCCATATTGGGGAGGGCTGTTGTTGTGCATGCTGATCCTGATGATCTTGGAAAAGGTAAAGGCTTCTTGATTTGATTGCAAAATATTTGCATGTTACATCAGGCGCCACCACGAGCTTTGCAGAAAACCAGACATGTAGAAAAAACAGTGACTATTTTATTCCTTATAAAGTAGGAATTAAATGGTTATATCTGTTACTCTCATAGCGATTATTTATGGTGTGGCCTGATTGGTTGTTAGCATCATCCTCATATTGTAATCAATCACTGAAATTTTTTATGTTATGTGAGCTCCTGCATTCTAACAATCATTCTGTAAGTTTCAGGCTGTGCCTTGTAAAATTCTTATCTGCTTATGTTTATATATGTGTTTAACACTAGTTAGCAACTTGAGTGCCCTTAAGTTTTTAAGCTGATAATGATAGAGAGTAGCTGCTCTCCCCTGATTCAAACTTGCTTTCACTTCTATATGTTATTTCATGCATCATTCTCTGCCTGAGTTTATTGGATTAGGAAGCCTATTGATTTCCTGATGTGCTCATTGCTTTCTTAAACTCTTTGAATTCATTTGTAAGTGTTTTGTGGATGAACAAGGGTCTGCACTGAATGGATATTATATGAATTTCAGTTTATAGTTATATCAACAGTCGATGCCCTCAACTGGCTTTCCACATACGAAACAAATGCATCATGATCCAAATGCTGTTTGAATTAAGCTAAGTTTGTGTCGGATTTTATTTTAGAATGGTCATCTTGGCCTCACCTTTGCAAATCCAACTAGTTTGGGATTGAGGCTTGGTTTTTGTTGTTGTATCCTGGCCTGACCTTTCCCCATCAGAAACTTTGCATGAAGTGGAATGAAACTGATATCTATGGTTGTGTGATGTGAAGTCGTTTTATAGGTAATCTAGAATGTAGAAGAAAGTGCAAAAGAGTATTTGTAAATGATCTGTCCATTAAGGTTCCCACTTAACTAGGGACTGTAAGAGACATTTTTGGACATACTCCAGTGTCCAGATTTTCTGCAAGAAATTGGGTAATTCACAGTTAAGCAACAAGTTGGATGCATGCCTGGAACAGGCATTTCATCTAGTCAAATGAAAGAAGTAAAATTTTATTAACACGTGCTAAGAGGATGGAGAAACTAATCATCACTGGGACATTGTCTGAGCGGCTAGAGATTCATGGTGTATGATGTTTTTGATGTTTGATATCAACTGAATTGGCATTGCTTAGTGGTAGAGCAGCTAAATTTTTGGAGGCTACACTACGGGAAATCTGTTACCTCTTTGTTGAATGGGCCTATTTGGAGAGGAATGAACAACATGACTTTTGAAGAGATTGGGATGCAGTGCTGTAAACTGGAGTCATATTTCTGATTAGTTGTTTGTTCACTTGGATGTCTATATCTCAACATTTCTTTTGATCATTTTCTTATTTGGGAATCAAAGAATTTTCATATAGATGCTGGTTCTTTTACCCGTACTGGAACATTTTCTTAGTAAATACCAAAATAATGGGCAGGTGGACATGAACTTAGCAAGACAACTGGGAATGCAGGTGCAAGAGTTGGATGTGGTAATCTTCCCTATTCTTATGAATTTTGATGCTTTCTAGCATTAACTTTTACTGAGTAATATTATAGGGCATGAGATGGAATGGAGTCGGTGTCGCACAGGTTATGATTTATTTCACAATTAAAATCCTTTGCTTTATAGGCATAAGCCTGACATTTATTACATTATTTGGACAGGCATCATTGGGCTCAAATCATCTGTTTAGGATTGATACTTAGTTGGTGGATTACTTCATCGAAGATGCCCTTTTGTTAAAAACAGAAACAACAAGAAGAAGAACGTCCTTTTAAGTTTTGCAGGTCTGATCCAACGTACTTATTCAAAGCTGTAATCTCCCAATAACAAAATCTATGTAATCTCTGATTATTCAAATTGTCAACATATCGCAATGGCTTAGAAAGCTTTCCCTGGACATAACTAGATCTCTGAAGAGCTTTTTTCTTTGTTTCTTTTTTGTAAAAGTGGCATATGGTGTCATGGTCTCTGATGGGCATGCTCCTGCATTAATTTCTCTGGAATATGCGTCTGTCTCTTTGAGAAAAACAACAAATATATGGTGACCTGATTCCTTGTTGCTACCAACTGGATGACCAATTCAGCTCCATGTTCACTGGCCAGACCCCATTGCAATTTGTAGAGAAGCAGATTTTGGTTCGCCAATGTAGTAAGGGACAGCAGGGTTTTAATTAGATTACTCTTAAGACTTTTGGACCCTGTTTCTTAATCTGATAACTGTTCAGAGAAACTGTGTCACTATCTGCCTTCTCATCCCCCCAGAGCAGTCGATAATTGCAGACATTGCTGTAATGGGAGAGCAGAGCTTGTTCAAGCAATCTATCTGAAAGCATAATGTTCCATCAGAAGAGGGTTGCGTGATGCGTCAACAGGCTTTGGCAACCCCCAGTGGCCATTGGCCAGGGTTGTTTAAGTTGGTTTGTCTCATGCATATGATATAAGCTTCCGGATTTATTGAATTACTAAAATGCGCCTCAAGCAACATCTCCTCCAGCGGGATGATTCATTTTTACGACCAACTCGATTTCTTTCGAGTTCACCTTGGATAGACCCCAACCTAGATTCGGGATCTTCGCAAAAATGTCTATTGCTTTGTGGTTTCTACTTCCACCCCGAAGTGCCAACTGCCAAGACTAAAAAACCATCTAGATCTCACCACTTGCAAAACTGATTCGGCACCAGTGCTCCAGTACCCACCATACGTGGGTGAGAGAACTCACAACCTCATTAATGCAGTTGCAGGATTTAGATTGCCAAATGGATCGACTGAATCCACCGGCCATTCGGTCCTGGCACCAGAGCCAATTATGGCATCGACATTACAAGTTAAAACCAAGAGATAATTTTAACGCAGTTCAAATTTTGGTGTTCCGAAATAACACAAAGGATAGTCGAAACAGAATCATTGCAACAACTACAATGGAGTTCAGTGACCATGGGGATCCATGTGGCTCGCAGTTGAAAAAAATAATTACGATCGCAAATCATGACTTATCACAATACAAAAATATTATGACAATTAATATCATAAATACATTAATAATTATTAATAAATTTATTTTAATTCATATATATATTTTTTAAGCATACTAATATCTCGTGGGTAGGCTGCAAAGGACCAAAATTGAAATTTTGGTTTTTTCTTGTCTTTTTTTAGGATAAAAGCTTTATACAACAACAAATAATAACATTATATAATGATAATTGCCATTATTCACGTAAAATGACAATAGACCTCTTATAACGCACAATAAAACAATAACAAAATGCTCCAAAATTGTTATATAATAACCGTTAGGGACGCTATGTTGAATACAATAACGGTTATTTGAATAAATGCTTTGGCCTCATTTAACACCCGTTAATTGAATAAATGCTTAGTGCCCCCGCTTCTCAGAGAAGAAACGGCATTGTAGCTAACTAGGTATTCAATTTTCCCCCTCTCCCTTTTCAGAAGCAAACTTTTAAGCACGCCTAGTTTTCGCCACTGATAAAAATGGAAAACACAAGGATGTAACCAAACATTTTATCCATAAACAAAGCTTAAACTCAGATTAAAAGTACTTGCAACAGACCCTAGCATTCACTAAAACCAACATTTAGTTTAGCTTGACACTGTCTGACTGACACCTAAACCCACAGGATATGAAGGAAACAACCACACGGGATGCTATGTTGTAATACAGGAAGAACAACTTCTTGATAGAGATCGAAATTCTGAGTTGAAGCAAGGGCCTAAAAAGAGACCTCTGCGCTGTTTCTTGTCCAACTGTGTAGTTCAGAACATTTCTACCCTCTCAACCATGTGTTTCGGTATGATGAGTTGTCACGCAGAGAAGCATCATGGGGCTTGTAATCCATAACATAGCTGTGGGGAAGCTTCAAGTGCCTTTTAATTGCATCTCTTAAAGCCATCACGCACTGCAGAAGAAAATAAGCGTTCATTTTTCTTCTTTAGGAGATAAGAAGAATGTTCTCAATTAGAATGTAAAAGGAAAGCATATAGAGGACAAATAAAGTTCAATACATTATGATTTCAGAGATAAGGAAAGAAAATTAGAGCAATTAGCAAGAGCAACACTTAGAACAATAGCAACTAATAGTGACTAACATGACGATCTGATGCATTGCGATTCCACACGCTAAGTATATCCTCATTGAAACGAATGCTTAGCACTGCCCCGCATATGTCATCACTGTAATCAAGTTGATCACCAACCAGGGCAAGAACCTGCAAGAGCATTTGCAAGTAGAATTCAATACTAGTTATAGAAATGCCAATTTAATGGAAAAGCTACCATTACACACTACAAAACACTTCTTTCCAATCTAAGGGGGGCAGGAGCACACTTTGCAACTAATCACTAGGATTTCAGCTTTACTGCTTACAGCCACTCCTACAAACGCGGCCAGTACATTTTACCGTCCATGATCTCCACTACCTTGACAATTTAATTTAAAAGAACGGCAGCTATATAAAAGCAGTTACAGATTCAAAAACAAAATCTGAACCCTTAAAAGTTTTCTTTTCATAGCTTATGAAAACCCAGGGTTTGTAAATGAGAAAGTTACCAATCATTATTATGCAGTAAGTTTTTTTATGATACCAACAAAGTAAAGTTAATTTCATATTCCTCTTACCAGATCCTCCCAAAAGCGACCAGAGACAACCTTCTTCAATCTTATTATCCACTTGCCGCCATTGCAGTTAGCAGAGTCCTGAAAAATAACAAACGTGAACAGTTTCTTACGTTTAAGTTCAGCATAACATTAGAAATTTCTCAGCAATTATGAGATGGCTAAATTAAAACAAAAACTACATAAAAGTTATTGCAACTTCAGGTTTGCAATGTTACCTCCCACAGAGGGCGGATTCCTTCCTTGAAAAGATGAAGATCAGTCGGGCTTGGCAATAAAGAAGGTCGAGCCAAGTGGCAATAGCAGACCCAAAAACCTTCAACCTGCATACATTAATGCTCAAAGGTCTTGTCAGCAAATGAATCAATAAAAAAACTTCTATTTCCATGAGGATATATTGATCAATAAAAAAACTTCTATTTACATGAGGATATATCTCAAAAAATATATTACCAAACGATCTTGTATTACAATAGAACTTACAGTACTGAACTCCGCAATTTTCTTTATATTGTCCTCATATGATGACTGTGTTCGAACTCCTGGAGTTCGACGAGTGTACCAAAATACAAACTTGTGCTGAATATAGACAATTCGGAGCAAAATAAGCAAGTACTTAAACAGACTCATCGTCAATTATATCAAAAGAAGAGCTATGTATGGTAACACCATAATTATCAGCAACGGTAAAAAAGCATACGATCAACAAAAAGTAAAACCCTAGTTCGATTACAACATTTACGTAGGCCTTACAACTTCGTAGGATACTAGTAAGCATAGATCTATTTAATGTGAAAGGATAGAAGCTGATATGCTTCCAACGGCACAAACACAAGTCATGTTTTAGAAGGAGGCAAGGTAAGAAGATATGCAAAGTTTAACAGGTTTTTCCCTCAACAATTTTCCTTGTGGAGCCAAATGAAAATGGTTTTGAACTCCACATGAGGAAAAAAGAAAAATAATGCTTCTTCAAAACAAGACCAGGGGCTGTAGGGTCCTAGAGTAAGAGATGCAACATATGAGGCATGAGTAAATACTATATTTACGCTTCAATCACTCACTCACTCGTAGACTGATTCCTAGCATGGTTTTTTAAAACTACACTTGCTGCTTCCCCCTTGTGTCCAAAAATCTCCAATAAAGAACTTCCATATGCTCAAGTTTGAATTTTAATCAATGATGCACAAAATTAACTTGGATATATGATCTTGCAAACTCAATTTTTGAGCTAAGAAATCCAACTGGAATTGGCAAACAACAAGCACACGTAGAGATTTGCATTTGATTAAAATTTTCCACTCTGCAAAACGAAGTGCCGAAATCCTCACCGTTCAATTTTTTTTTTTTTAATGAAAGAAAAAAGACTTCAAAACAACCAAACTTAAAAATGAAGCCCTAACTCAGCCGGAATTCCCAAAAAATATGTAAAAGATCAACTTCTTAACCTCAATTTCCCTCAAATTATACAAAGACGAATCACAGAAATCCATCGCAAAACTATCAATCCAAAAATCTACAAAACAATTGCGATCACGCAAAAGATATATATATATATATATATATATATATATATGAGAGAGAGAGAGAGAGAGAGAGAGAGAGAGAGAGAGAGAGAGAGCAAGGGGATTGGGAACCTTGAGAGGATGCAAACCAGCTTTAAGTTCGCGTGCTTGGCGTTCTTCGGCTTCTTTATCGATAATATCAGTTGTTGTTGATGAATCAACTGTCGCTGTTCGTGCATTATTATTGTTTTCTGCTTCCTTCTTCTTCTCTGAGATCTCCATTTTTTATCTTGATTAAAATTCAATTCGAAGCCACAAACCCTAATTAATAGTAGTACTAGTTAGATAATACGGCCTTACTTCTCTATTTATCTACTCCTGTTTTACACGAATTTAAAAGTCCAGAGAAGAGGAAGGAGGAAGACGAGATAATTCGGCTTTTTAAAGCAACTCCACTGTCTTTTTTTTTATCATGTCGCACTGACAGCCAAATGTCAAACATTTCTGTGTTAGGGCTCTCAATTAAGAGTGTTGGTTCATTAATTCAGTTTGGTTTTGAAATTTTTTTATTATTTTTTGATTAATTAAATTATTCAAAAAAATAATCCAAATCGAATCGAATTATTATTTAATTTTTCAGTTTAATTTTGAAATATGTTGATTTTTTTATTCGATAATTCAATTTTCATCTATTATTAATACTCAAGATTTTTTTATTTTCTTATATTTGTTTGTGATAAAATATTTTACATTTAAATTGGTCAATGTAAAATATTGTATGATCAATGTTTAAATTTAGTTCATTTCTTGAAGAACATTTTCAACTCTTGAAGTTTTATAAAATAAATGATAAATTAATCTCTCTAGTTTTGAGAAACAAATTTACTCTCTATATTTTAATTTTGAGAAACATTTTCAATTTATTTTTAAAATAAATTAATATTAATTTAAGCATCATCAACATTGATCAATGAACTAATATATAATTTACTTCAATTTCATAAAATATTTTTTGAACATGAATCCACTTGAGATAGCATTCAACTATTTCAATCATGAATTAAAAAAAATTAATAATTCGGTTATTCGGTTAATCGATTTAAAAAAAAAAAAACCAAAAACCAATTATATATTGGTTCGTTTTTTTTTTAATTTCTAAAATAAAAAATCACATCAAAATTGATATCCGATTCGATTTGAATTTTTAATTTTTACCAAATAATGAACACCCTTACTCCCAATCCCTATATGCCCGTGGGCTTCACAGGCCTTCGTCAAATTTTTTTTTTTTTCAAAATAAATTAATGCCTCTGCTGTGTCCGCTATCTAGTTTCTCTATTTTTGTCCTTTATATTTTGCCTTCGATTTCTTTAATGTCATTGAGCGGTTGGTGATTTAATGTTGTATCTTAGTCTGTTTTTCCTTCCACTCTCTTGCTTTTGTGCCCTTTTTGTCATTAACATTTTCCTTTTACTGGAGGATTAAATGCTGGCAGTTGGCCCTGGATTTTGTTTGGTCTTTTTTTTTTTCACTTTTGGTACTTATGAATTTTTTTTATTATTATAAATTATTAGGCAAAAATTATGGATAATCAATCATTATTTTTTATATTTCTCAAACAACCTAAAGATAAAAAAATATATATATGATATGTTTTTATTTTTCAAAATAAACATATATTTTAGATTATATTATTCTTATTATTTAAAACTTATTCCTTGAATTTGTCATTTTTTATGTAAAATCTCATCAAATTATTTTTTTGATTAATTTTTTTTTACAGATAAATATGGTTTTTTTTTATCTACGTATGGATTTTGAAATAAAATTTTAGAACATAATTATTTTTTATTTTTTAAAAAATATAAATGATATAATTTATATGATGGATTCTTAAAATTTTTGAATTATAACTTTGCATGTGAGGTTTGTGCACGGAAACTGGTTATATATATATATATATATATATATATATATATATATATATATATATATATATATATATATATATATATATATACAAGAAACAAAAAGAATTTCATTTGTTTTATTGTTTATTTATTTATATAATCAAAATGTATCAAAATGAAAATTTTAATATTTTTATTTTATTATGCTAGTTTTAAATTTATTCAATAAGCTATTTACAAGTTAATTGTTTTTTCTTGAATGTTTTTTTGTTTTATGCTGCAAAATACAAAATCCACTCAACAGTAACTTTAAATCTATTCAACAAACTACTTACCAGTTGATTGCTTTTTCTTTAATGTTTTTGTTTTATGTTACAAAATACAAAATCCATTCAGTATAATTATTATGAAATATATATATATATATATATATATATATATATATATATATATATATATATATATATATATATATATTATATTCTTGGATTTATTAGAAATTAACAATGCAACAACACAAAACACAAATATTTACTATTTATTCATTGATTGATATTATGGAGATATTTTTTTTTCAAATTAAATAATTAAAATTATGTTTTGCAAAACCAACAAATTATTCAAATACAGTTTTTTATTCTAATATCGTTGATAATTTTATAAATAAATATATCAAAATCAGATATACTGACTTTTAAAATCTAATCTTCTCCTCAATATTAAATAAGAATTAAAATTATTTTTTTATTTGTTTATTTTTATGTAAGTTTTTATATCAATTTTTACTTTGTTTTAACAATATAGTCTTAGAAAAATAATGTTATTTTTTTATATTTCATACCAAATTTTATTTTAAAATTATTACAAATTTTTTAATAAAGAATTCGTGGATAAAAAGGAACAGATTATTTTTTTGGTATGAGAAAAATTAGTGAAATATAAAATTTTGATTTAAAAATTATAAAATTGGATAATTTTTTTTACCTTTAATTAATATATATTGACAAATACATTGAATAATTAGGATCATTAAACTAAAATTATTTTTTAAAATTATTTCACATATGTTACCTGACCCGCAACGTAATGCAATGCGAAACTAGTCTGTATCTATTTGATTATGTGCCTAAAAGTAGGGAGAATGAACTACTCTTTGATGAGTGAGCTGTAGGTAGATTGTTCACCATCCTATTTCTATCATCTCCGCAGATATAAAAAATTAATAATAATACTGAGTCTGGCTAAAAGGTGTTTTTAGAATAATAGTTAAGCGTCATTTAATGCTCCTGATCAATCATTGTATTTTCTTATCTTGTTTAGAATTTACTGTAGACACTTCAAGAGATTACCATATAAAATATATTTAATTAATATCACTGATTTGTATTTAAATATTTTTTTTCATTTTTTTAACACAATTCAAAGTCTAATAAATGCATTCAGATAATTATCAACGGTTTTTTGTGAAGGGATTGAAATTTTTTTATGTTCGATTCTATCGTATTATTCGTTTTCTTTAATTTTGATTAGAAATAAGTTTAATGTGTGTTTAAAATAAACACTTTAGTTTTTAATTAATTTTTTTCTCATTTACCCTATGTTTGGATAGAGTGAAAAGCTAGGAAGAGGAAAGAAAAGTATTGAGAAGAGAAAATTTTAAGGATAATTACTAGAAAAATCCTATAAAAAAATCTTATATTCAAGAAACCTTCAATTTATTTTTAAATCTCTCAAATACAAAATAATATTTTTAAATCTCACAACTTTAAAATAATATTTTTCTTATCAAAACAACTAATAGTTACACACTAGTGTTAATTATTATGTGTTTTTAGTGAGAAAAATATTATTTTGGATTTGAGAGATTTAAAAATAAATTTATGAGTTTTTTAAATAGAAGATTTTTTTATAAGGTTTTTCTAGTAATTATCTTAAAATTTTAACCTGTTTGGTTTTTAAAGGAAACCTATGGAAAGAAAGAAAGAAAAAATTAAAGATGATGGGACCCACTTTCCTCTCACAATTGGAAGGAAAATGGGAGAAAATCATGCTAAAATATAACAAAAATAGAGAATAGAGGGCATTGTCATTTTTGTCATTTAAAGTATTTAAATATGAAAATATAATAATCGGAGTATTATAGTAAATATACAATAATATATTTTCCTTTTTTCTCTATTTTTATAATTATCTAAACAAGAAAAATATATTTTATTTTCTTTCATTTCTGTTTTTATACAAATAACAAGTGGAAAACTAACGAGTTCTGAAACATGATTGATTATAATTCCTTTCAAATATTAAACGATACAAATTATTTTTTGATAAATGTAAAGCTAACGAGATTCAAATTTATTATGCACACATCTATACAAAAGGACAAATTTCACACCTTGTTTAAATACAATATTAGTAATGGACTCCTATGCATTTAGTATATTTTTAAAATGATTATTCCAAAAAAAAAAAAACGGAATAATAATGTCAAATAAATAAAATTTTAGTCAGCCACAAAAATCTAAAAAAAAATAGAGAGAGAGAAAAAACTCATAATGCTCTCACAAATATTTAAAGCAAAGAAAGGAAAAAAAAAAAAAAACAAAAACAAAAGCATTTCCGTTTTGTCCGCCCAGACACCCACGTTGAGAGAAAAAAAAAAAAAAAACGAAATCAAAAAAGAGAAAAGCAAAAATTCTTTCTTCAATATTTTGGCACAAGAATCCTTAGCTGCAAACGAAGTGGGAAAGCAGGGGAAAAAAAGAAAAAGAAAAAGAAAAAAGAAAAAAGAAATATATATATATATATATAAAAGAAAAGAGAAAAAATAGGAAGGAAGGAGGTTGGAATCAGCCATGCCAACCACAGAAATATGAGGATGATGACTACATGCACAATCATTACCCACTCCTAAAACGCCATTTTTGAGTCTTGACCTAACCCCGACCCAAACCCAAACCCAAACCCCTATACCAAACCTACTTTCTTGAAATAGCTGAGAAAGAGAGAAAGAAAGAGACAGATAAACTTTCTGAAACTATAAGCGAATCCCTAGCTTTAGCTTGCTAGCTGGATAATACTATATAAGTAATCAGTTTACTATTGTTGTCAGTTGATTAGTGGTTCTTTCTGTTATTGTTAGGAAAAAAAAAACTTATTATTGCTATCTTACCTTATAATAATAATAATAATAATAAAGAAAAACAAAACACCTACTTATTTGTTTTTGTGTGTTTTAGAAATCAAAATCGTCGCTTTATCTACCACTTCTTTTCTTTTCTCTCTTTATTTTTCTGGGTTTTCAGTTTTGACCAGAGTATTGTTGTTTCTTTTTCTATTTCTACCTCTTCAATGGCTCTGCTTTCTGTTCTCTTCTTGCTCTATATTTATGGGGCTTTGTCGGCATCTGCGTTGTCTATTTGTCCTAAAGAATCAGCTTTGTTTATGTACGATATTCAATCTCAATGTCCTGTTTCGATCTCTCCAAACTCTCCTCTTCAGGTACGTTTTTTTTTTTTCCTTTTTCTTTTTTTGGGTGCTATTTTACTAATTTATATCTTCTCTTTTTTGTTGGGTGGCTAGTTGTTGATTTTATGTTGTTTTTACATCTGGGGCTATTTTTTTTTTTTTTGTGTGGATTAATGGGTTTTCGATTTTTGATTTGATTTGTTATTTCTTGATGTTTGTTGTTGCTCTATTTGAGCTGCTTTCTTGACGGGGTTTTCTGTTTTTGAGGTTTTAATTGCTAGGGCTTGTTGATTGTTATTTGGCTTGCTGATCAGTTGTTGGTAAAACGTTAGGTTTTAGCTTTTGCGGCAAAATTTCTGAATTGGAACAGTAACTGTTGATGGGTTGACTTTTTTTTTTTTTTTTTTTTTTTTTTTTTTTTTTTTCAGTTTTAGGTTTCTTGGGTAGTAGTAGAACTTTCACATAGAAACAACAATGAAGAGAATTTGGATTTTGAATCTTTACCTTTTCTAGAAGGTTTGAATTCAAGACGTGTTTTCTTTTTGGAAGACTCAGTACTACTAGTTTGGATTTTATCCTTAATTATGGACTAGGATAAACATCAATTATCAATTGTATGAGGACGGAGGCTACTTGCGTTCTTTGTTGATTTTTGATTGTGTGTTGTGGAGCAATTGTAATTTTAAGTTTGAGGTGTAATCCTAGACCTCTTTCCCTCCTTTTATCGATTTTCAGTAGTTAAAATCTTATCTCAAGCAGCCTCCTCTGCCAAAAAGAAAGACACTGTGTAGTTTACTTTGACCTTGTGGATAGTTTCTTGGAGAGAAATGCGTAAATGTGAAGAAGAAAGAGAAGAAAAATGAAGTTGTATTGACATGTGACAAATTTCAATTGCTAGGATGTTGTGTTAATTGTTTTGTTTTTATCAATTCACAATTACATTGAAATTCTGATGAACCAGAGGTTGCAGAGTGTTCTTGTCAATGAAAAGCTGGATTCGATAGATGCATCTATGTAGGAATATGGCACACTCTTGAAGAAACTAAAAGGACATAATTATTACGAATCCACTTGTTATGTGTCGTTGGTAATATTTTAGAGAAAAGAGGACACCTAAACTCTGATCTACACATTTGTAATCATATGGTATCACCAATCTAGGTGTCATCTAATTTAGAATTTTCTTTGAACCTTTTGCCTTCAGCTTCTATTTCATGCAAAGAGGAATAGTGCTTCCTGACAAGTTTTTATACTGCTTCTTGTCTCTATTTGAAATGGTGCGGTAATGGAATCAACTTTTGTTATGTTTTCTGTTAAGGGGTGAGCGGGGGAGCTACTCCATTCTTGGAGCTAGTTCCATTGTCATTAATAAATGGAAACAACATTTTAGAAGCACATTCCTGGTGTTCTCCACCTATAAATACTTTGAATTGTGCCTTTATCATCTATTGATCTATCAGAACTTGTTCCATAGGTCTTGGAAGACCCTAACCACCATTTCAAACCCATCGGGAAAAAAAAAGCATCTTGAGTGAAATTAAAATTGTCCTCTTTGTGGTTTGCTTGATATGGTGGTTTTTATTTTGGTAGAAAGGCCTTAATATTATTTTATCTATTTCCATTCTCTCTCTCTCTCTCTCTCTTTCTCTCTCTGTCTCTCTCTCTCCATGTGTGTTGAGAGGAGGGTGCAGATGAATGTATATGTGTCACTATTCTTTGGGATAGCATATGTTTAGGAGCATGACTGCACACTACATTCTATGTGAGCATCCTAATAACAATGGATTAATGGATAAATTATAATAGTGAAACAGATTTTACAAATTAATGAAATTTCTCACGACTGGTCAAGAGGGCATGTGATATATCTGAGCTATTTTTCTCTCTTATAGATTACTTATAATTGATGGTTGACAGGTTTTAGTCCATTATTCTAAATCTTGAACTTGATAGTGGTTTATTACTATACCCCAAACAAACGCATCCGCAATAGTTAGTTGTCTTTTTTTCTTTGGATATTTCCCGTAGTTGTTTTGTTTTTGTACTTTCCCTGAGATCATGTGGTCGCTTGGAAACTGTTGACAAAAAGCCTAATGTCTCAGTTTGGCTAGATTGAGGTAGTGGGATAAAAACTCAGTGTGAAAACAATTACTCATTTGGTTAACCTTGCACAGTTGTGCTTACATGCAACCTAGCCTTTCTTTTGCTAGATTGAGGTAGTGGGATGAATCTCAGTCTGACAACAATTACTCATTTGCTTAAGCTTGCACAGTTGTTGTGCTGCCATGCAATCTTTGTGCATAGTATTTACTTTTCACTGTATTTTTTTCCTCATGAAACCTTGAAGATTATAAATAAGTTGTTTTACAGTGTGGAAGGTGGCTGTATGTAACCAGTACTGGCTCCTAACCTATTGAAACATACTTGAGGCTATATGATCACTCCTTTATAGCTGAGTCGGACTTTGAAACCCAATTGGGTTTGGGGCACTCTAGTGAGGAACTTCTTGTACATGATTTCCATGTATTTCTAAACATTAGGAAAAAACCGAAACATAACTTCCCTATTGGAAGTTTGCTTTTGCTCTCCTTTTGTGGCAATTGCATTGGAAGAAGACTCCCCTCAATAAAAAGATGCTTGCGAGGGGGGAGAGAGAGAGAGAGAGAAAGAAGAGAGTGATGAGGATATTTGAGGGATAAAATAGAGAACGAGTTAAGAGATGGCAAGATGACTGACTGATGAAAAAGGGAAGAGCAAAACAGGGTCATATGTTCTTATGACTTGTCAGAAGTCTAAATTCAGGTTTGAGGGATAAAAAGGAAATGATAATTACTTAACTTTTGGACAAAATGAGTGGAAATGGAAGTTAGTCATAAATTCACAGGACACATCAGAAGTCTAAATTCATACGAATTAGAGAGCTCTACTAAGGGAGGCATTCAAATTAGTTATAGCTCTACGGTGCTTAAGCCAGTTGATGAGTCATATGGTTGTCATAACCCCTAGCTTCTCAGTAGAATTTACATTGGTTACGGATCACAGGCTCACATCATACTGTCAATTAGCACTGGACATGATCCACCAGACTTCTTTCTGAGAGGACACATGAATGGGTCATGTGTTTCACGAGTTTACATTGGTTATGGACCTTTTTAATTTAGGGGGCAACTAAGGTAAAACTCATCCATTATTAGCAAGCCATGAGAGTAGACATAGATTTTTATTTTTATTTACTCCACTTTAACGAGTTGCAATGCAATTCATTCACAGTAGATACTTTTAATTGCAAATGCATAAATTGGGTTAAAATAAATTCAGAACTGTTTGTTTGTGTCAATTCATGGGAATTCTAAACAAGGTGATAAAATTGGTTAGATGTTTATTTAAGAGTAGTTACGTGCGGCACCTTGTTACTTGCATCCTTAGCTCTTTGGTCATTTTCGGGTAATATTTCTTACAAATAAAATCTTGACCGTCCCCTAGATCTGCTTGCGTATTTTTTATGTATATGCTATTCAAAAGAGTATATAAATGCCATTTCATAATTTCTTCCTACCCACCATCTTGCTCGTGCAACTTGTAATAAAAGTCATGACATGATCTAGAATTGCATGTAACATTTTTTTGGCATCATGCTTTATGATCTAGTCCAGTTTTCTGGCATATTTACAATATATTTTTGCCTTCATTTCTCAGATATTACTAGGATTATCATTATTTGGTATTTGATTGGTCCAAATAATTCAAGCTTTGTTAGTTCATAGTGCTGAATTATATATTGTTGTCAATAGGTGGATGGGAATTTCCTGGACAGAGCCCTCACTTCAAAACAGAGGAATGCTTATACTTCTGTACTCTTTTATGCTTCATGGTGTCCTTTCTCATGCAGTCTGCTACCTAAGTTTGAAATGCTTAGTTCCATGTTCCCCCAAATAGAACATTTGGCTGTTGAACAATCTTCGGCTCTCCCGAGGTGAGACACCTCTAGCTTGGTCTGCTTATAATATTTCGTCATCATTGTGGATAATATGGCTGTGGTGGCATAAAACTCGTTCCTCAAAGCCTGGTTACTGTCAAACCACCAACCATCTTTTGCTAAGTTATCCTGTATTTTGTCCAGTGATATCAATGCCATATCTTTTTTGCAGTATATTTTCAAGATACGGAATCCACAGCCTGCCTTCAATGTTAATAGTCAACCAGACATCAAAGGTGCGGTATAGTGGGCCTAAGAACCTTCAATCTCTTGCTCAGTTTTATAAGGAAACAACAGGTAAATATGTTCTTCTGTGCCAAAGAGTTGTGTGCATTCTTGCTGAGCTCACTTCCCTTCTCTGCTTCCACCATTTTATAAGCATTGATCTCATGGACTTGATTATGTTGTAAGATTCACACACGCTACTCTATTAAATTGTAGTCAATGGTCAAACTTGCAGCACATAAAAATTGTCTTAGGGTTAATTAGTGACCTATGATTGCACATTGTTTCCAGCAACTGCAATAGTTTATTCAATAAAATTTATATACCATGTTTCTAATCTGAGTGTCTGGGATTCAGGGCTTGAACCAGTTCAACATTTTACCAAAGACGACTGTACTAGTACAGAGAGTCATGAAAAATTCTTCATGCAGCCAGAGGATATAATAAAGAGGGAACCCTACTTAGTACTTGCTACACTGTTTCTCTTTTTGAGGGTGTTGCTCTATGTATCTCCAAAGGTGTTGTCACATCTCAAGGCTTTCTATGCCTGTTATGTACCACATTTCAACTTGGAAATATTTGGCGAGACTAGTCAATTGTTTGGGCGTATCCTTCACATGATTGATGTGAGGAGGATTTGGACTAAGCTGAGAATATGCAAGACCAGAAATTTCCATGAACGTGCAAAAAATTGTCGGGTGTGGGCTTCTTCACTGGCTTCTGTTTCTTTGGGTGAATCGTCTCCATCAGCTAGGTCACAGTCCTAAGACATATCCCGGTTTCTCTTGGGGCTTAAATCAAGGTAGAAAAGAGCTTACTGTTAACATAATGTATTACGGACAGTTTTAATGTTCTGGGAAAGGAGGTTTCTCTTTCACTCGTTAAAATTTTACTAGTGACGATGGCAATGATGATAGCTGAAACCATTGTTGGTTGTTCTAGTTTTGGGAGGAAGCAAACAGGCATGTAAATTTGAGAACAGCTTTCCCTTTTTTTTTTTTTTTTTTTGTATATTATTTGTCATTTGGAGGAATATCTCACACTATTTGAACGTAAGCATACTATGTGCTCCCTCTCTCTCTCTCTCTCTCTCTCTACACACACACACACACACACACACACTAATGGTCGAAACAGCAGGGTTCCAAGTTTACGTTAGGAGACATTTATGAACAGAAGGCTGTATGGGTTTTAAGGTTTGATCAGGAGATCAATCCCTGCCCAGAGGGAGGAAAATATTTTAAGTACATGGTTCGTTAAAGTTGCCCTTGTTACCTCAGCAGTGTAGTCTTTATGCAACTGCCTTGGAGTATTTTCGTAGTGGGGACATGAAAAAGGCTGTGTTAAAGGTGCAGTGTTATCCCTTTACTGTGTAGACCTCGTGCACGGTGCACCTGCCCCCAATAATTTATGTGGTGGGGGCATGTTCATGCCACCATACGTTCAGTAGTTTTTACCCTTTGATTAAACCTGATGTTTGCCATGATGCATGTTTCCTAGGATGGCAATCTAACCCATCCTAAAGCCGCCTTGCCTCGCCCCGTCTTGTTTGGAGCGGGGATGGGGCGTTAAATTTTACCCTAAGCATAGCACGGAGCGAAGATGGATTTTTTTTTTTTTTTGGGAAGGGCGGGGATAGAGATGGCGATCCCTGCCCTATCTCACTTTTTTACTTTAAAAAAAATTAATTTGACGGGGTCTGGTCTCTTCCAATCTGATTTCATTTGACGAGGATGAGTGTTTTTTTAAAGGGACGGGATGGGGATAGGAATCGCGATCTCCTCCTCACCCCGCCCCATTGCCATTGCTAATCTTTCCCTTCGATTGTGCTTGCTGATACTGGCTCAGAACCTTAGTTTTGACTTCATTTTTATTAGGGAAAACCTCAAACTTACACCTTTTGGTTGTATCGATTTTACTTCAAACATTTTTATTGTGAATAAAAATTACTCCAATTCATATTCTCTATCTGTGATAGTTAAAAAATTCGTTCGTTAAGTTCACATGTGAGTTAACACCAATAACGAAAAACATAATTTTAACGCCTAAACATATTTGCCTCTAACCAAAGATTTGAACCAAAAAGAAAACAAGACAAAACAGAAAAGAACAAGAAAAATTATAAGTAGAATTAATGGAGCAACTTGAAGAAAAGAAGGTGGCAATAATGCTTTTTTTTTTTTTTGGGATACATAGAGTGGAGTATTCGTGAAACCTTTTAGGTTTTCATATTTAACATACAACGTTGATGGTACCATCCAAGTTTTGGAGCAAGAACATTTTGTATCTGTGGAAAAAGAGCATTAATTAGGATGAGCTGGACATACTTTATCCGGATAGAAAGCTTTTGGATTGTCCAAATTACGGGGTAATTTCTTTTTAATTTTAAATTGAGACTTCTTGTCACATTTAAATGGAACTCGTCGGCGGCTTTATGCGCGACCAAAATAAGTTTATTTTAGTTTCACATGTTTTATTATATCATCCATCGACTAAAATATATAAAATTTAAAATAAAAAAATATTTAATTTTATGTTAATCAAATTTTTGTATTTAATTTTTTTTTGTATTTTTCATAAATTTTATAGTTAGAAAGACAAGATCTATTCTTCTTTATGCATTTATTCTTTAAGAAAAACTTGTAAGAATCTAAATAGAGAATTTAATATAAAATTAAAAAAAACATTTTAATATATTTTTTTCATAAGATTGCATTGTGAAAATAAAACAACAATTAATATAAAAATTTATATAAAATTTAACAAATGAATATTTTTTATTGTTCTTTAATGTTGAAGAGAAGACTAACTTTTTGAAAATATGTATGTTTGATATATATGCACATACCAAAAAAAAAAAAATCAATAATATCAATATAAAAAATTGTATACACACACACACACAAAATAATCAATAATGTCAATATAAAAATTGTATTTGAATTATTAATTGGTTCTTCTGAAATATTATTCAACTTATTTTATTTGAAATAAATTAATTTTAATTTTAAAAAAATTAATAACAAATGATTGGTGTTATGTACTTATGTGTATAGATGCATAGTTAATTTTCAATAAAACCAATTATGTTAATTTTTTTTTATATTGAAGTTAATAGGCTGCAATAAAAACAATTATAAAATTGATTTTGATTATATAAAAAATAAGCAAATAAAATACATGAATTCTATTTTTTAATTAATTATTTTTTTCAAAAAAAAATTAAAAAATTCATAAATAAAGAAAAATAAATTATATTTATTAACAAATAAAATTACGTAAAAAAGAAGAATAAAAAACAAATTTGAAGAGAATTTTCATAAGAAATGACAAATTAAAGAGATCAATTTCAAAAAATAAGAGTAATATAATCCGATATATATGTTCATGAAAAACTCGTATAAAAAAAAAAAAAAAAACAACAATTGGTTTTCATAATTTTTGTGTTCAATTCAATAAAAAAAAAAAATTGCTTAAAAAAAATCCAAAAAAAAAAGAAGAAGGCAAGCTTGATCCATTTAGGAACAAAAATATCTTTTGAAAACATAAAAAATCAAAATAAAACATTATGTAAAATTTGCATATGAATGCCTAAAAACAACCAAAAAGTCACGAAAATATCATCATCCAAAATTAGAAAAAATGCCACAAAATGAATAATGATTTGTGAGGAAATAAATAGTGAGTCACAACTTCTGATGTGTTAGTTGTTTATGTTAATGATATAATTTACACGCACAAAATCTCGTACAAAATTGACAGATATGCTAATTACTACAAATGGAGAATGCAATTTAAAATAATTTATCTTACAATAAAAATGTTCGGATTAAAATTGATACAATTAAAAGGCTTGGAACTCAATCAATCAATAATAGATTCATATATTTGAGGCAAATTTGAGGTTTGTCCTTTTGATTATATATGTGACTGGCTGGACAGCTTTAACCATGCCGCATTTGAATGAAGTTTTCTTGATAATCAGACAATTCATCTTGATCTAAGTCAAATCCATACAAAACACTCTTCTAACTTATAGTAGATCTTTTTTCTCTTGAAGTCTATTAAGTTTTGTATCTTCATTTTTTTTTTTTTTTGGGATTTCAATCTCCACCACTACCGAAACTGAAATATGCAAGTGTGTTTGTCTGCGACATTCTGGTGCCTGTCAATGTTTCATAAGAAAAACGAGTAAAACAGTTCCTTACCAATTTCCAGCCTGTGAACGCTTCCAATGGAGGTGGGCCGTCTTACATGCATCGTCATTCAATCTCCTATTGGCATCAACTTCACATTTAATTTTCAACAACTCCAAAAAACTGTTTCTCCTGCCCATTTCCAAGAATTTATTTTGGCACTATATATGGAAAACCATTAAAATAATGAAATTCTCCTTTTATTATTGCTATTATTATTATTTATGGTTTTACTTGCAAGCCAAAGACATTATTGGGGTACACGTACAATACAAAGAATAAGAGGCGAATATTTAATCCGTAAGCAATCGTTGCCTGTCCAAGAAGCCAAGCATGGAATGATCTAAACCCAATGAGGAAATGCACACAGGTACTGTCTGTCAAATAATAAATTTTGCCTGTCCACACTACATTTGTATGTGCAATAAAATGTGCAAGAAGTTCAAGAACTTGTCCTGAATAATAAATAAAAGCCTTCATGTTGCAATCCTTTTTTTTCTTCCTGGAATTGGTCCAACTCTACAAAGAAAGATAGTTAAAAGTTTAGGTAATATATATATAAAGAAGATATATGAATCTGTAATAGCAGCATCCTATGTTCAAAATTTAGTAACTTTCGAAAAAGAGTTTGTTAAATATCATAAAGTTACAGACATCATAAAAGTTTACCAGTTCCAAAATGCACTGTTAGATACGGAATGTAGAGTTGGGAGTTGAAAAAAATTTAGTAACCGTACGTTACTTGTAAATACAGAACACTTGAATAAATTCTATTCCTATTAGCAATATAGCTTGAACCTAACCATAGAAATTTATGTACTTCTAGGATGACTCCATCTAAAGAAGTTAAACCTTCATGAAAATCCTTGAAATTTATGCACTTCATGCAACTTTCCATAGATAGGCTGCTTGTAGAAGTTTTCTTTGATATATCAATAGTTGTCAGTGTTACAATGGACCCCCTAATGTGTTGCTGAAGTAATATTTTGAAGGTTTATTTTAATCAACAACCTCCCTAATCTGACTACATCTGGCAGAATATGATGGGAAGAAGGCACTTACGTCCCCTCTATAGCTATCAAAATTGCAAATTATAATTTAATAGAATCACACAAAAAGCCAATAAAGATCAAAGATCCCACCAGCCTATGGACAACCGTATGGAGGCTTTCACTTTCATCTTTTCTCTCCTCTCTTCAAAAACCTACCCTATCCCTTTCATTCCAAGCAAACTTCGACAAGCAACCGACAGACACCCCTTCTTTTTTCTTTCTTTTTTTCCTTCTTCTTTTCCTCGCTCACCATGGCCATGAGAGAAGGAATCTCTAACAAATTAAAACCTTCCCCATCTCTCTCTCTCTCTCTCTAGAAATGGTCGTAAGAGGAACACATGACCATATTTTTAACACGTACTGTAGGCTTGGCCCCAAAATTTATCCAAAGTTAAGTGACAATATAGTAATCAAACTTGTGGATTAAAATATTTAACAACCCAATATAGAATGGAAAAGAAATATCGAAGAAGCCTATCGAACAAAGGCATTCTATTCTTCTAGGTGGGTCCCGATGGACCCCTTCACCATTTTGTCCCATCTGGTAAGGATTAGCCTTCAAAACATCACATAGCTATCCAAACGAGCAGACTCATACTCCCAACTTAGAGCAAGAGGACACCATGGAGCGGTGGCCTTACCTCTTCTTACACATCGTGAAAATTCCACGCATCACTCCATGAATCGCCTACCTTGCTAGCTAGCTTGATCAATAATTCAAACCACCACAAATTAGCCATCATAATAAGCAAATTAAAAGCACACTTGCCCACACACTTATATATTAGAGCTAGCTGCTACCCCTTCTTTTTGATCCATTTCTACCTCCGAGGATCGAACTTTTCTTTCCCTCTATGAGATGGATCTTGAAGAGTGGGAACTACTGCCCCATGATGGATTCATTGATTACCATGAAGATGGTGAAAAGAAGACTTTTGGGGCAAGCGAACGTAGTAGTCCTAGACCTAGTCCCAAGAGTGTGTTCAACATGAACTACTTCATGTGCCCATCTTCACCTCCAAAACATTCGAGGGTAGTTCCTAGTCAACTTGTTCAACTTCCAGTTCAGTTGGAACAAGCAACAACAACAACTGGCAAGGATGTCTCACAAGATCATGTAATCTCAAAAAAAGAAGGGATCACCATGGTACCTATTGACCTGAGTACCGTGGCTCCTTCTGTGACCATGCCAGAAGTCAAAGAAGCTGATCAAGACTCAGTTTCTCAAGTTTTCTTCAAGAAAATGAAGGAAAATGAATTTGTCGACATGAAATTGGACTCACCAAAGTCCTCTAACACTATGGGTGGTTTTGTACCTCCTCAAATTGATGCTGGTGCTACTTTTAACTTTGAAGACAAAAGTGATCATCAGGGGTATAAAGGAGATCAGGGCTTCGAGACCACCAAGATTAGTTCTCCAAGAATCAAGACTGCCGAAAAAGAAACTGGTGCAAAAGAGGAGGTGAGTTGGGAGGAGAATAGCGGTGGCTTGAACTTATGGAAGTTGAGCTTAAATGGGATTGGTGCTATTTGCTCTTTTGGTGTTGCTGCTGCTACCATTTGTATTTTCATCTTCGGAAGTCACCAAAGAAACAAGCAGCAACTAGAGAACCAAAAGCTGAGCTTCCAGATTTACAATGATGACAAGGTTTGGATTTTCTTTCTTTTAAATTTGACACACTTGCAATTTTGAATCTCTCATTTTATTTCTTAATCAAGCATATATCTTTGAGCATATGATCACTGCGATCATATGGTTGGTTTTTGTATGATGTTATAGAATGCTTAATTTGATTTGATTTCTTGATCTCCATGTTTTTACCTCCCCCCCTGTTTTCCATAAAAGTATATATTTTAGATCACATAAACTGAAAATAAGTAATGAAATGTTGCATGATCAATCTTATATTTCTTGTTAATCATTTGTATTATAAACACATTTTGATGAACACGTTATTATTGATTTTCTTTCTGTTGATCAAGTTTTTTCAAAGAGGGGAAAAAACGCGATTACTTATTAGGCTATGCTTTCGGCCATGACATGACAAGATCACATTTCGATATCGATGGAATAATTTGGGATGTTCAACAGAGTAATGTAATCACAGAGCAAAAGCAGAGTTTACAATTATGAATCTAATTACCTCATTTGGGGTATTCTTAATCTTAAAGCTAAAGTAGTCACAACTGTTGGTTGTTGCAGAGGATTAAGCAAGTGGTTCACCATGCAACGAAAATGAATGAAGCAATGTCAGCAGCCAGAGGAGTTCCTATTGCTAGAGCTCACATTACCTATGGTGGTTACTATGATGGTCTTTGAAGCAAAAATCCCAATTGTTCCCTTTGCGTCAATTGTGGTGATGCATCTACTATGCTACTTTACAAAATGTTTTATATAGTCTCCATGTCTCGTACATAAAAAAAGATATGTGATGTTTGTATGGATAATAGATTCCTGTGAATCCTGTCTGTATTAAAGATTCCTTATGCTTCTGTACGAGCCACTTGCTGTTAGATGTTGGCATCTTATATGTGTCCATTATAGCACTAGCTAAAAGTTTGTATTGGGATCGACCCAAATAATTAATTTTTTACCTACTAATCAGGTAATACTTAAACAATGATGGGAATGCATTTGTGAATAAGTAAGCAGAGCAATTCATTATAGGTTTAATCACAAATTTTGCCTACATTGCATTGTGATTCGGCAATTTTAGATTTTTAGTATTAAATTATATAATTTAAATTACAAACTATTGGTTTTGAAGCAAAATTGATGTAAATGCATTCATGAATAAGTAAGCAGAGCAATTCATTATAGGTTTAATGGTAAATTTTGCCTCCATTCTATTGCAATTTGGATGTTTTAGGTTTTTAGTATCAAATTTCATAATTTGAATCACAAACTATTGGTTTTGGAGCAAAATTGATATAATTTCTTAAATTGTAGTTATATGTAATCGTCAACTGGGTTTATCATTACTTGAAATGCAAAAAAAAACGTCGTTTTGACATTCCACTATTAATTATATATTTTTTAAAAAAATATTTTAAAAATATTTTTAACCTTCATAATCTTAAATTTTCTTAAACTTTTTTCTTATAAAATATTTTAAATATTTTATAAATATTCTTAACCCCCTTAATTTTGAATTTTTTTTTAAATCTTCTAATAGAATATTATAAATATTTTATAAAAAAATATTTTTTTATAATTTATAAAATTAGGGTGGGCAACCCTTAATTATGCTCATTTTAATTTATAGAATATTATAATTTACATTATAAACATTTTAATGCTCATTAGATATTATAAATATTTTATAAAAAAATTGTAAAAAAGCCGTAAATAATAAACAATTTAATGCTCATTATATATCATAAATATTTTATAAAAAAATATTGTAAAAAAAAGTCTAAAAATAATTTTATAAATTGAAATGAGCATAATTAAGGGTTGATCCTCCTAATTTTATAAATTATAAAAAATATTTTTTATAAAATATTTATAATATTTTATAAAACAAATTTCAAAATTAGGAAGGTTAAAAATATTTATAAAATTTTTTTACATATAATTTATAAAATATTTATAATATTTTATAAGAAAAAGAAAGTTTAAAAAAGAAGTTCAAGATTAGGAGGGTTAAAAATATTTTTTAAATATAATTAACAACAAAATGTCAAAACAGCGTTGTTTTGACATTTCAAGTAACAATCAACCCAATTAATCTTTACATATAGCAGTAATTAAAGAAATTGGATCAATTTTGTCCAAAAACCAATAATTTGAGATTCAAATTATGTAATTTGGTGCTAGGAGTCCGAAATTACCAAATCACAATAGAATGTTGGCAAAATTTGCCATTAAACCATTCATTATATAAGCAAGACTCAATGTCATAACCTAATTTTTTACCCCCATAATTATTTTAAATATTTCACAAATTCGTTTTTATTTACATAGTGTAGATTTTTCATGAATTTTTATTTTTATTGTTATTATTAGGTTTGTTTTATTTAATTTTTAATTTTGGTTTAATTTCTCATTCACCCTTTTATTATAAATATAAAAAAAATAAATTTTACATTAATTACTAATTGCAATTAAATTGAAAATTATGTGAGCCAATTTGAGAATATCTTGAGCTTTAGGCAAGGGGTTAATGTTAAGAGTTTTCTTAACAAAGTACAACTTTAGTGAAGGAGAAGAAAGAAGGAGGAGGAGAAGAGAAATGTTTGAATTGAATTGCTCTTTTCTATTCAAATTGGATAAATCCTCATGTTCCTTAACTGCCTCTATTTATACTAACAATCATGTCCTAACTAACTATCTAATTGAACTAATAATTGCCGACTCAACTTCTAATTACGGTAGTTAATATTCCTACTAACTAATTGTTATACAAGCAATTATTATAAAAGTTAGTTCTTTAATAGAGAACCCTAATTCTTAATTCGTAACAATACCCTCTCTTAGATAATATTTTTATCCTCGAGGATAAAAGCAAAATTCAGAAACCGAGCCTCCATATCACTCAAAACTTTTTATGTAGCATCTTCCTCGAACAAACCACCTCATTGTATCGGCTCCATCATTTCAACTCGGTTGTTCCTCTTCATGATTCTATCAAGCACAACTACTTAGAGACGACTTTATATGGCCATCATCATTAATAAATAGTAAAGAAGTAAAACTATCACACCGTTTCCCACATTCTTCTTTAATAAAGAGACATGACAAACATGATGGATTATAGATCCTTGTGGTAACTCTAGTTTTTAAGCCATCTTTCCAATTTGTTGTAGAACAGGATAAGGTTTATAATACCTTGGATTCGGTTTAAAATTCTTCTACGGGGCCACATTTACTTGTGTGTAAGGTTGGAGTTTCAAGTATACTAAATCCTTCACTATAAATTCTCACTCGGTCCTCCTCATTAACAGTTTGTTTCATTCTCTACTTGCCTCAATGCTAACTTGGCCTTTAAGAATGGATCCATGGCCCTTTTATACCCTACAAAGTCAGCAGCAACAACCATCGAAGGTTTTCTATGGAGAGTTATCTCTCTAGTAAGTGAGGAAAAACCATACAAAGATTGGAGACATTTGAATAGTAGAATGGAAACTTGTGTTGTACCACTTATTGAGCTAGATGCAACCAATAAAACCACTTTTTGAAATAATCCATACATATACACCTCCGATAAGACTCAAGACATTGATTTAGCCTCTCAATTTGGCCTTCGATTTGAGGGTGATATGATGAGCTCATATGCAACTTGATGCCCAAGTGCTTGAACAATTTCATATAAAACAAACTAGTAAAGATCTTAGCTTGTGCTTGTGATAGTTGAAGCTAATAAACCATGCAACTTGTAAACTCGCTTCGAAATTTCTTGGTCACCTCATTAGTTGAAAAACAATGAGATAAACCAATGAAATGCCCAAACTTGGTGAATTTATCCACAAACACCAAGATAACATCATTCCCTTCGATTTGGGCGACCCTTCAATAAAATCCATTGATATATATTTCGAAGCTCCTAGGCAATAGGTGTAGTAGTTACGGTTATGACATAGTCCCGATACAAACATCACACTCCTCCATATAAGTCTTCACTATTTTCTTCATGATTGGCTAATGAAAAAACACCTTAAGTTTTCTATAGGAGTTCCGCACCCCAAGCATGTCCTCCGATAGCATACTTATAAGATGTTTCCACTAGTTTCCTTCGTAGCTCTTTATCTTCTTCGATGAACAATCTTTGTTTATATCTTAATATACCTTCAGTGTAAGTATACCTTGCTATCATTGTTGTAAGAAGCCATACTAGGAACCATAGTTGTCACTATACCGAGGCTTTCTTCTGCAAGTTATCCTTAACCCTCTCATGTGAAAACCCTTTTCTTGACAAAGCGACAACCATGATATTCTCTTTTCCCTTCCTATAAAGAATCTCATACTTCAATCCTAAAAGCTTCATATATTATGTTATTTGGATAGGAGTATGAATCTTTTGTTCTAATAAGTATTAAGACTCTCACGATCGAGTCTTAATGATGAACTTGTCAACCTTCAAATAATAGCTCTATTTATTCACGGCTATGAGAATAGCCAAATATTTTTTCTCATAAATTAACATGCCTTGGTGTTTATGACACAAAGCCTTACCGAAGAATGCTAATGGCCTTCCTTCGTGAGACAATATCGCCCCCAATCTCACTCGTCACTTACATCGGTTTTCGATACAAAAGGTTTTTGAAAATTAGGTAAGGCTAAGATAGGAGCCTCGCAAAGTACTTTCTTTAAGTTTTCAAAGTCATCTTGGGCCTATCATTCTAACCAAAATTGTTCTTCTTCAACAATTCAATCAATGGCTTATTGATTAATCTATAATTTTAGATGATTTTTTTATAATGGCTTGCCGATCCTAGAAATCCCCTCAATTCTTTTATTATTTTTAGTATTGGCCATTCTTGAACAACAATAGTATTCTTTAGGTTAGTAACCACCCTTGCACTTGAAACGATATACCTTCGATACTCTATTTGTATTTGATAGAAATTATACTTGGACCTTTTATCAAATAGTCTATACCTTCGTAGAACATCCAGCACTATACCAAGATGTTTAATGTGGAGCTCTAACGTAGGGCTATAGATCAATATATCATCAAAAAATACCAACATAAATTTTCTCAAGTATGGCTCTAGTACAATGTTCATCATAGCTTGAGAAGTAGCAAAGAGCATTGGTTAAACTAAAAGATATTTTTTTGAATTTGTACTCGTTCTTAGTAAATCCTAAATGTAGTCTTCTTAAGTCCTCATCATGTATTTTGACCCGGTGGTAACCTAAACATAAGTTGATCTTGGAGAAGATAAAAGATCCTTATAGCTCATCCGATAAATCATCAATCAATAGGATTGGAAATTTGTTTTTGATAGTTATGTCATTCAGACTCTATAATCCATGCAAAATCTCAAAGTATCATCCTTCTTCTTAACCCAAAGTATCGAAGATGTAAATGGACCGCAACTTGATTGGATAACATCTTATTGAAAAATCTCATTGACTAATTTTTCTATTTCTTCTTTGTGCACAAATGAGATCTTGTAGGGTCTAACATTCATTGCCTTTTCTCTTAGAATTAAGAAAATTCTATTGTCAAATTGCCTTTTAGAATACAATCCTTTAGGTTCTACAAACACATCTTCATATTGAAGAATAATGCCTTAATATCCTTGTTGCTTTCCTCTATTGTTTTCTCATAGGCTACCATAGAAAAAATTTTATCCCACAAAGCTACACACAAT